GCCGACACTGTTTTTGAGACCAACTCCTTATTGCCGAGCAACCATGGGCTTCCAAACTCGTCAGAATTATCCCGCCGAGGTGGAGGCCCCGTCAGCCCCTGCTCACCCTGCCCCCCGTGCGTCACCTCCCACCCTACCTGCTCTCCGGGCTCTGGGGGCACGTGGGCCACCTTCTCCCCTGCTGGCCGAGGAGCAGCGCCGGGGCGAGGGGCCCTTCAGGATGCAAAACCAGCCCCGTGGCGGTTCCCTCTTCCAGGATGTGCAGAGGCCGCCGCCCCACGGTGAGCGGGGTGACGCTCAGGAGCCGCCACGGTCCCGGAGAAGAGCCTGGACCAGGCCCCTGGGACCCGCGGGCCCGGGGCTCTGGCTGAAGCTCTGCGACTTCCTGGGTGAGCTACTTCCTGCATGAGTGGGTGAGACTCACCAAGAAGATGACACCTCGCTCACCCCGGCGGGCTGCCCTCGGGGCCTGCGGTCGGGCCGGCGAGGGTCTCTTTGAAAGGCCCACCCTCCAGCCTGACCAGGAGCCTCTGGAGCCCAGAGGTGCGAGGGGTCCCTCCGCACCCCCTGGCATCTGGCTCCTGCCCGCGCCTCTCCCGGCAAGCGCTAGCCCATCCTCTTCACCGCCCTGCAGCCCTCTCCCAAGCCTGGGGCCAGAGGGACGCAATAAGGTTTTTGCAGCCCAAAGCAAACAAACAAACAAACAAACAAAGAAGAGAAAAAAGAACATGGGGAGATTTCTGTGAGTCATTATCAACCTTACATCGTGCACTTGTGAGATTTGTGTGAAGGCGGGTGGTGGCTCTTTTCTCTGTCAGTGCAAACCCCCGGAGGACCCCCTACCTAGGCCACGAGGGACCCGCCCGGGCCTGACATGGAGAACCCTGCGCCCTGGCCCTGGGAGCAGAGACCCGGTGGGTGGGGTCTCTGCTCGGTCTCTGCCTCGGGGCCTTGTGATGTCGCAAGAGGGTGTGCGGGACTGCGAGAGGGAGGGACTGTGGGAGAGGGGCTGTAAAGATGGGGCATGGGGCGGGCCCGGGCTGGGGTGCCCGGAGGCCAGGGTTTGAATCGGGCTCTGCCCTTCATTAGCTGCGCTGTCTCCAAGCCAGGTCTCCTCACCTGTGGGCTGCGGGAGGGGTTTTGCAGGGTGTAGGAGATACTTCTGCAACGCCCCTGACACAGAGCAGATGCTCGGGCAGTGAGCCACCTCCCTCAGGAGGGCACCTGCCATTCTGCTGCCCCAGCCCCTCCCCCTTCTCCCAGGGGCACCCACCTGTGTGGTTCCCCCAGGAGCACCGTTTTGTGTGTGTGTTTTAAAAAGATTTTATTTATTTATTTTTAGACAGAGAAAAAGGGAGAGAGAAAGAGAAGGAGAGAAACATCAATGTGTGGTTGCCTCTCACGTGCCCCCTCCTAGGGACCTGGCCCGCAACCCAGGCGTGTGCCCTGACTGGGAATCGAACCAGCGACCCTTTGGTTCATCACAGGCCAACATTCAATCCACTGAGCCCCAGCATCCAGGGCAGCAAGCAGCACCTGTTCTTACATCACTCTGCCCTCAGGTTGCTCATGATTGGTTGGGGGGTGGGGGACGAGGTGAGTGCTGAGTGGAGCATAGCCAATCATAGCCCTTTCCTGGGAGTTTATTCTAGCCCGCGGCCAGTGGGGCTGCTGTAGAGGGAGATGCTCTCGGCAGCCCTGCTCCTGCCTGGTGAGGACGGCAGTCTGCAGTGAGAGGGAATGGAGCCGGTGGGAGACACAGGAGGCCGTGCTGCTGGCCCCAGGGGTGCTGCTGCGGCTGTTCCCGAGGCCCCCACTGCACCCCTGTCCGCCTCCACTGCCCACGACCTCTACGGAGTCTCCCGCTCACTCCACCTGGAGGCCACCCTCGGCAAACTTCCTCCCCACCCCCATGAAACCAAACCAAAGCCATGATGAATATCGTCGCACGTTGACAGTGTACCAGAGACTGACGAGGTACCATGTTTCCACTTCGCTTTTCTTCCTCCTCTCCCCGCCACACACACAGCAGGCCCGCGCCTGAGCTCTCTTCTCCCCCCACACCACACCCAGGGGCCCCTCCTTCTTGGCGTCTGTGTCCATGAGAAGCAATTCAGTCGCATAGACCTGCTGAAGCAAATCCTAGAGACCTCCCAGGGGACCGCCCACGGTCCTGCAAACGGGTGCCTGGGTCCTCTGTTGCCCTGACTCCGGAGAAACTGGGGGCTCCACCCACGGAGTCCGTGCAGGGTTCCAGCAGCCGTTAGGACCCGGTGCCTGAGCAAACATGCGGCCTGCCCGGAGCCCAGCCCTGGCGCCTGTGTGGGCTGCAGGCACAGCCCCGCAGGAGGCCCACCTCCGCGCCTGTGGCGTGTGGTGCAGGCAGGGATGTGGCCTGCGGGTTGTTGGTCGGGGAGGGCAGAGGATGAGAGACGGGAACTGGGGCTCAGGGCTCAGAGGTCATGTCTGGGGCAGGTGGCACTGTGGGGACCGAGTCAGAAAAGCAGCCGTCTCCAGGGCGCAGGGCCCCACAGCTGGGGCCCCCCCCTGGGGCTGGACAGAGCACAACCGCGATCCCTCGGCGGGGTGGGGGGGTGGGCTGAGTCCCAGAGAGGAACTAGCGCAGAGGGAGGGCGAGAGGGTGGGAGGGAGGCCAGGCAGAGGGAGCTTGTTTGCAGGACAAGCCTGTGTGGCCGGAGGGACCACTCCTGGTGTCTGCTCCCTCCTCACCCCTGTCTCCATCCATTCGTCCATCCATCTGTCCACGCCAGGGCCCCGGCTGTCGTTCCTGCCACTGCGCCTTTGTTTGCGGGGAGACAAATGGCCTGGGCCAGCACACGAACAGGAACAGCAAACAGAGGAGCAGTGGGGACCAGGCAGGGAAGGGAGCAGGCACATGGGCCCTGGGAGCCAATCACAGGACAGAGCACGCACCGCGGCCTCTGAGCCCTGCGACCACAGGAGCGGAGCATTTGTCGGGGCGGGGAGGGAGGTCAGTGACCTCACGTCCCCGTGCAGAAGTACCTCCTGGGGCAGTGGGGAGGAGGTCCCAGTCACCCCGACTCCCAGCGGCAGGCCCAGACCTGATGCCAGGGTGCCTGAGTCCTCGTCTTGGCTCAGTCCCACCACCCTCCATGTGTCCTGGGAGGTTGTCGCTTGTCCGCCCAGCGTAGCAACCCCTTTCTTATGGCCACGGGCTCTTCGTGGGGGCGGGACCAGGTGTGGGCAGGGGAGGGCTGCCACGATGAAATGAGCGGGGAAGGGGGTGCTGGGACAGCTGCCTCAGACGAGGCGGGGTCTCAGGGGCACGGGGGGCGGGGCTCAGACGTGCCCCCACCTGGGGGAACACCCATGGGGAGATGCGGGCTCCAGCCCATGACTCCGGGGCGCTCCGCAGGATTGGCGGAGGGTCACACTTAAGGGCCAGGTTTTCCGGCAGAGCAGGCGCTGGCGGGGCCTGCGTGCGCCTCCTCGGGAGCCAGCCGGAGCGGGCGGGGCCCCGAGCCGCAGCCCAGGCCCTGGCACCGCAGGCCCTTCCGGCTGGTCCCCCAGCGCCCTGCGCAGCCCCGGTCTCCGCGTCGGGGTCCACCTCACGGGGCTCGCCCCTCTCCGAAGCAGCACCCCCCTGTCTCTACCCATACCTGCTCCGCTGTGTTCCTGACCGCTCCACCCGGCGACCAGAAGCGCCCCATGGCGAAGCAGACTGGTCCCGGTAAGGGCGAGTAAACGCCCCCCTGCCTCATCCGCCCCCTCCTTTGCTCCTCCGGGTCTTGGGCACCACCCCGGCTTTGGGCTGGCAAATCTCCGTGTTCTCTGCTGTGTGAGCATTCCCCCAGCTGAGTGTAAGACAAACCCCACGGCCTCAGGATACACGGGCCGGGAACACAGACTGAAGTCACGTTCTCTCTCACACATGCACACACGCGCACACACACATGAACACTCACAGATGCACGTGTGTGCTAGTTCGGGGGTGTGCGTGACGTGAGCCCCCAGCACCTGCCCCCAGCCGGGCAGACAGGCCCTGCGGGGTGAAGCGTTGAGATCAGAGCCCTTTCGGAAACACCTCTGTGGTGGCGGCTTTCCCTGCCTGGTGCGGCTCAGGGGACTGGGCACCAGCCTGCGAACCCAAAGGTCACCGGTTCAATTCCCAGTCAGGGCACACGCCTGGGGTGCGGGCCAGGTTCTCAGCTCGGGGCAACCAATTGATAGTATCTCTTGCACACAGATGTTTCTCTCCCTCTCCTTTCTAAAAATTAGAAAAATTAAAAGGGCGGCCCCGGAGCTGCATACGGAAAGCTCAGGAGAGGTGTCCCCGCCAGGGCTGGGGTGCGGCGGCCGCCGAGGCCCTCCCCTGGGAGGGAGTCCCGCGATGGGGAGAGCAGGGCACCCAGGGGTCCGAGGGAGTGGCCTTCGGCAGTCTGGCCCTGCCTCCCACCCCCGAAAAAAACGGGAACCTGACCTGTGCGCAGGACATTTTGCGGGGGGGCTTGGGGGGAGGACTGAGCCAGGCACTGCACCTGGGGCAGCGCTGCCAGCGTGAGCTCCTCGCCCACACGGCGGTGCGGCCTGCCCCCAAATCCACGTGCGGGGCCCTGACTCCCGTGGGACGGGGGGGCTTGGAGGCAGGGCGTCTGGGCAGTAACTCCAGTCGCACGAGACTGTAAGGGGGGGCGGGCCGAGGTCCCACAGGGCCCCGTGGCCCCTGGCTCTCTCCCAAGAAAGGCCACCCGAGGGAAGGGGGCGGCCTCCCCAGAGACCGTCGGAGGGCACTGTGCCCTCGGACTTCTGGCCTCCAGCTCAGCGGGGTCACACCCTCTGCTGCTGAAGCCCCCCGTCAGGGGTATCTTGCCATGGCAGCCCCCCCGCCCCGCTGCCACTGCGCCTCTCCGTTAGTGACCCAAACATGCAGGAAACGCAGATCCACGGGGAACCACGGCCTCGTTCGGACCTGCGTCACGGTCACAGCCCGAGGCCCCACTCACGAGAAAAGCTGGCGATGCGTCTGTGGCAGCTGTTTATTTAGAAGTCTACAGATTGGAGCTTTTAAGAAAGATTCACAAAATATTCCGTTGAAACCGCATTTCTGGTTCATCAAATTTCAAATACATTTTACTCCTCTGAACAATATATTCTAGAGCTGTCTAAAACACAGCCAGATTACGCTTCTTTATTTGTTTATACACATTCTGTTAATTTTTTAAAAACTAAGATTAAGATAAAAAAATACTGGCAGAACTACCCGATCACAACTACTGTTTCCTTGTGCACTGAAGGGTTTTCCGTGGGTCCCCGCAGCCCCCCCAAGTCCCGTGCACCCCGCCGGTCCCCAAACGCACGGGGGGCCTCGCCGAAGGCCAGCGTTCGTGGCCACGCAGAAGCTCAGGTCGGTGGTGGCGCTCCCCGGAGATTATTTCTGAGTGGACAGGGCACACACAGGAGACCATTTACAAGGGGACAGGCACCTTTAAGCATCATTTTGAAACCCCCTCCGTGGGTGGAAAGGTAAAGGCAGCAATACATCCCGTCGGACACTGGTCAGTTCTGGTCTTTCGTTTTTATCCTTTGCTCCGCTTTTAATGAAATGTGTGTTGTGGGTTGTGTTCCCCCAGGCCTGCCTGGTGTCAGCTGACTCCGGGGGCCCCCGGCCTGCAGGCCGTGCACTCAGAGACCCCCACAAAGGCTCCCTGTCCTTGGAGAGGTAGGAGGGGCCTGTGTCTCCCGGCCCCCCACTGTTGGAACTAAGGATTCCAAGAAAACACGGCAAGGACACGCATGGACACACCAGAGGGAGGGCGTGTGCAGGAAGGAACACGGAACGGAAATGACAGTAAAGCTTCTACGACATCAAGAGGACCGCCACACGTCAGCGAAGGACAGAGGCCCCGTGAGAAGGCAGCAAAACGATCCGCAAAACTGGCCGGTCTTCGCTGCGGTCCGCGTGCTGGCCGCGGGCTCTCCGGAGAGGGGAGCCTCCACCACGCGCAGGGCGTCAGGTTACGAGCCGTAGCGGTCCTGAGGGGAGACAGCCCGGGGCAGAGTCACAGACCCTGTGCGGGGCCCCTTGGCCCCGCCGCTCGGCTGCAGCTGCCCGGGGCGGGGCGGGGGGGGGGACTGTACAGGGCGGGGGCTGGGGCGGGGGGCACGGTAGTGCAGGCCAGGGGCTCAGCCCCGGGAGGGGGGCAAGTGTGTGCGACCAGGGGCGGGAACTCTGGGGGCCAACCCTGCAGGGGTCCCCGGAGCGGAGCGCCAGAAGAGCCCGGCTGGGGCCCGAGTCCTCAGCCACAGGAGGGGACAGAGAAAGGGGCGGGCTGTAAAATGGGGACAACCGTCTACAGATCAGGGATGTCACCTACTCGGAAGGACTGCTGGGGGCTCGGCTCCCCCAGGGACATGAAGGAGCTCTGTAGCCAGAAACCACGCCACCAGCGCCGTGGTCCAGGCTGCACTGCTGCGACATGCGTGACACACACACACTCTTTCCGGCCCTCGGGCCGGCGGGAACGCGAACCCACCGCCACAGTGAGATCGTGCTCGCACTGCGCTCACCTGAATCGAAGTCATGACGCCGTTGGCAAAGACGGACAGCTTCCCGGCCACGGACCGCACTCCCTGCTTCAGCTGCGCCATGTCGGGCGCGGTGGGCAGCACGCTCGTGAGGCTGTAGCTCCCTGCACACAGAGCGGACGCTGGCTTGTCGCTCCGCCCTGGCAGCATGGCCGGGGCCAGGCGCTCGGGGACTCCAGATCTCACAGCCCCGCCCCTGCGCCCCCAGCAGCACACGCGGCCCAGGGAGGGGACCGGCAGTGGGGTCAGGACGCGGGGTCCGGCACCAGCCCCACCGTCCTGCGGGCACGGCCAGCTGCACGCCCCCCCGGGGCAGATGTGGCTCGGGGTCTGCAGACCGCCGCGGGGTCATTGCTGGCACGGCCACCGTCCAAGCCGTGTGCCTCTGGAGAGGTTCCTACCCTCTCTGGACGCCTATTTCCTCCTCCAGGTGCTTGGCCCAAGACCCGACGAGGGGGTCTCAGGGAAGAGCGGACGGACACCTGTGCTTTCTGTGTGCGCAGCATCCCTTCCCCTCCCTGTGGGGTGGCCCCCCCCTCGACCCTGCCCGAAGGGATGGGCCCGGGAGGGGCCCGGGAGGACCTACTACGTGCCAGACCCCGAGGGGCCCTTTCTGAGCAGGACTCCGTTTCAGCCTCCGTGCACCCACTTTCCAGAGGGGCCTGAGGCTGAAAGCGACGTGCAATGTCCAAGGTCTCCGGGTTAGGGAGTGGTCAGCGTGACGCCCCCCCACCCCGGGTCAGGCACCGCGTTCCCACTGTGCCGGGAACACTCGTCTGTGACACTGTGTCAGGAAGGTGGCTTGTCAGGCAGCCCGGGGGAGGCTGCTTAATCGCAGGCGTGGCCCCCGCACGGGCAAAGCCCGGAAGAGCAGCTCGGGCTCTGCCCGCCTGCGGAGGAGACGAGGGCCTCGGACCGGACCGGGGTTGCTGCGACGGCCCCGGGCAAGCGCGGAGTCCGCTGCGGAGCAAGCGCGTCCCCCCACGGACACAGCGCAGACCAACCCCCGGGGCCGCCCGGCCTACCTGCCGCCTGCTTCCTCTGCTCGTCGAACAGGTCGGCCGAACTTATGGCCGAGCTCCCGGAAAGCCGCTCCAGCCGCGCCCGGGTTTCGTACTGGACGAGACGGGAGAAGCGAACGTCAGGCTCCAGCCACCACGAGCGGCTCACAGAGAGCACCGCGGCGACCGGCCATTCCCGTGTGTCCCGCGGGCTCGCTCACGCCCCCGACAGCTGCCGGAGGCCGCCCCACGGCAGGGCCGGCGGGAGGCAGGCGGGTCAACAACCCCCACCGGGGCCCGAGGTCAGTGTGAGGGGACACGCAGGGTGACACAAGCCACCTCCGGGGGGGCCGCTCCAGGAAGCCCCCCCACACCCACTCTGTGTTCCGTGACTGAGCTCCAGTGCGGTCAGCTTCAAAGCAAGGCAGACTTCAGGGGTTGGGGAAAAGCCTAGCGACACTCCGTGCATTTTTAAAAAAAGACTTTATGTATTTATTTTTAGAGAACTGGGAAGGGACAGGGAAAGAGAAAGAGAAACACTGACTGGCTGCTTCCCGTGTGCGCCCTGCCCGGGGACCGAACCTGCCACCCAGGCGTGTCCCTTGACAGGGAATCGAACCACCGCCGCCCGACCGAGTCACGCCGGTCGGGGCTCGCTCCGAACCCTCTGAAATGCGGTGAACGTTCCACTGCCCCCAAGTCTAATCAGCACGCCTCAGCAAAGATGTCTCTGGATGGGCCGGGAAGCCTGGCTGCGCACCAGAACTGCAGGAGCTCCGGCGAGCGCACGGGCGCCTCGGGCCGGGGAGGGAGCCTGCCCCCCACTCCCACCCAGGGTCTCCTCTCAGCGGGACTCCGCCAGGACGGCGCACTGCCGTCTCCGAGGAGCGACGCGGCCATCCGAAGTAAATACATCCACCCTCCAAAATACACCTACACACGTCACTTAACCACGCTTAGGAATTATTGCATCACAGCTGTGTCAAAGTCGCCGTGGGTTTATTAAAAAGATATCGAATGGATAGTGAAAAGATATTGAAAAGAGGTTGACGGCTACTCAGAACACCGAGGACGGGGGAAGAGACGCAGAGGAGACAGTCCCCGCCCTCCGGCCACTCCCCCAGCCGGGGCAGCGAGGTGCGGTGGGGGGTCAGGAAGCCCCGGGTGTGGGTCCTCCTCCTGCTCCCGGGGTCAGGGGCCTCCCGCCCACGCGGCGCCCACCGCCTGTTCCCATGGCCCCCGGGCCCCGCTCCGGGGACCCGTGCGGAACTCTCCGACACTCACCTCAGCTTGGGCCTGTCTCCCAAAGTACATATCTGATGAAATGGCTTTGACGTTGCCAAACTTCTTCTGGGCCTCATCTGTGTTTTCAACCGGCTCGTAGTCCGGCTTGCGGCGAGTAGTAGGTCTGCAATCGGAAACAGCCAAGACAGGAGCGACATCAGCCAGCTGGCGGAGGGGGAGCTTCCACCGCCACCCTGCTACGGCGGAGCACTGACTCTGACACCCCCCAGGGGAGGGTGCCTCCGTGGGAGCCCAGGCGGCCGGCAGGGGCGCCCAGCGCACCGCTGGGGCCCAACGGCCAAGCCCGTGCACGTTAAGGAAGGTGGAAGAGATGGGCTTCCTTGCCCACGTCACCCCCCCCCCCAACGCGGCACCGCGCGGCGCCCAGAGAGGCCCGCCTGGGGGCGAGGGGGAGGGCGGTGAGTGGGTGCCTGGTTTCCCCAGGTACCCACTGTGTGGGACGTGGCGGAGGGCTGGGAACTCATCAAGGGCACATGGTCCTACTAAGCTCCTTGCAGACTCCACGAAGGGGCCGCCCACAGGCTGCCAGGACACTCCCTCCGGAGCTCCCAACTGGCCCACGGGGGCCGTCCAGCGCTCTGCGAGCTCCCCCACGCAGCCCCCCCGCCCCAGCCAGCTCCCTGCACGTGCAGACAGCCAGCCCAGTGCTGCGCGGCTGGGAGAGAGATCACGGCACGAGCACTTGCGGCACCGCCCGAGGAGACACACGGGAGGCTCCCGGCACCCGGCCGGCGTGGCGGGGCCGAGAGAAGGCGCACCGTCTTCAGGATTCACCCGGAAGGGGGCAGGGAGCGTGCGGGGGGCGTCCACAGAGGAAGTCTGAGACAGCCCCGGGAGCCCGGCGGGGTCACGCCGAAGGGGCCGTCCCCGGACAGGACTCCGGGAATGAGAGAGATCAAGGGACGGTGACACCAGGAGGGGAACACAGTCCCTTTCCAGTGACCGGCCCCAGGGAGCCGCCTGACAAGGAATTCAAAATCCTCGTTGCAAGGAAGCTCAGCCACTACAAGAATGCAGAGAGACAACTCAACAAAACCTGGAATTAATACACACATAGACAGAGAAGTGCAAGAGAGACAGAAATCACAAAGCAGGACCAAAAAAACCACAACCCCCGCCCCTGGGCTGAAGAACACAGCGAGAACCGCAGCAGAGAGCACCCACAGCAGATGTATCCAGGCGGAAGGAAGACCCTGTGAACCCAAAGGTAGCTTGTGTAAAACTGCCTCGTCGGAAAGGAAGGGAAGAACGAGAGTGGAGAAGCCAAGTGAATCCCGGGACACCACTGAGCAGACGACCGCTACGACGGAGAAGAGGAGGGAGGAAGGACGGAGCGCGGGTCTAAAGACCCGACGGCAGGACGCTTCCCCAGCCCGGACAGAGGAGGACACCCAGGCAGACGGAGCTCCTGGATCTCCAAACAGGTTCAATCCAAGGACACGGTATAATAAAACTGTCAAAAGTCACAAAGAGAACTTTGAGAGCAGCGAGAGCGAAGGGGCGTGCCGGGAACTCCGGGACGGCTGCCAGCGGCTTCTCGGCAGGGCCTCGCGGGCGGGGAGGAGAGCCGCCAAATCATCGGCCGTCTCAGGAGAACGCTAAGGGGAGTCCTTTAAGCCTAAAGGAAGGGCTGCTCATTAGTAATGTGAAATACACGAAGTGTAAAACTCACCGGTAAAGTCACACGCAGAATACCATAATGGTGGTGTGTAAATCGCTTAACTGTAGCATAAAGGTTAAAAGAAAAAAAATGGTAGAAATAACTATAGCAACAACAGTGTGTTAGAGGATAGGCTGTCAGCGAATGCGCAATATAAAAAGATGCAAACTGGGACATCAAAAACATAAAACGCGGGTGGGGTGAGTGGAAGGCAGAGTTTGTGTCCGTAATCTAAGTGAGGTGGTCACCGGCCTAGAGCGTGCTGCTGCAACCACGTGTGACGCCAGCCTCGGGGCATGCAGACACGGAACCTACAGCAGGTACGGGAAAGACGAGGAGAAAGGGACGGAATCACAAGGACAGCGAGAGAGCAAGGCGTAAGAAAACTGCAAAGTGAGTAGAAAATAAAGAGATGGCAATAGTAATCTTACCAATCAATAGTAACTTTAAATGTAAATGGATTAAATTCTTCAGTCAAAAGACAGAGTGGCTGAATGGATAAAACAAACAAACAAACAAACAAAACAAGCCTGGTGGGTGTGGCTCAGGTGGTTGGAATGTGTCCCAAAAACCAAAGGTAGTGGGTTTGATTCCCGTCAGGGCTCGGCCTGGGCCTGGGTTGTGGGTGTGGTCCCGGCTGTGGTGCCTCTCCCTCCCCCTCCCCTCCCCTCCCCCTCCCTCCCTCCCCCTCCCCTCCCCCTCCCCTCCCCCTCCACAATCCAAGAGCACGCCCCCAGGTGAGGACTGAGCAAACACAGGACACACCCACTGCTGCCCGGAGAGACTCCTTGAGCTTTGAGGACACGCGCAGGCTGGAAGGAAGGAGACGGAAAAAGACACTCCATGTGAGTGGAAACCAGAGGGGCGCAGGGCAGCCGTATTTATCTAAGACAAAACAGACTTTAAGCCAAAAACTGTAACAAGAGACAAAGGTCGTCCAATAAGGATAAAGGGCAAATTCATCAGGAGAAGACAGCAGTGGTAAACGCCCACGCGCCCTCTGCGGGAGCTCCCGAGGGCGCCGAGCAAAGTCTGGGGGGTCTGCAGGGAGACGCAGGGAGACGCAGGGAGACGAAGACAGCGCTGCAGTGGCAATGACCCCCACGCCCCACTCCCAGCCCGCACACACTGCCCGGACGGAAAGCCGGTGCGGGGCGCTGGGCCCGAGCCGCACACCAGACCGGACGGACCGACAGATGCGTGGAGGACAGTCCGTGCCAAGGCAGCAGCACACGCGTCCCGGGCGCGCACACACAGGGAGCGATCTCCAGGATAGGCCACGTGCTAGGGCCCAGAACACGTTTAAGTCGTGTGTTAGGTCCGAACGAACTTAAGAAGACCGAAATCACGTTAAGTATCTTTTCCAACCACAGTATATAAAAGTAGAAATGAACAACAGGGGGAAAACTGGAAAACTCACAAATCTGTAGAGAAATTAACACATTCCCCAGCAACCACAGGGCCAAAGGAGACATTTTAAAAATGTCTTGAAACCAACGAAAACGGAAACATAACACGCCCAAACTTCCGGGATGTGGCAAAAGCAGTTCTGAGAAGAAGGGTCACAGCCCACACACACGCAGAAGGGTGCCCCACGCCCTGGTCACCTGGCACGTGCAAGCCCACGCCACAAGGGGCGCCCCCAGGCCTGGCGCGGCGGTGGCGGCCGCCGTCAAAAAAAAAAAGGCAGAGCTGAGTGCCGCGGGGCCCGGGAGGGACGGAGCCCCGCACCCTGCTGCTGGGGCGTGCACTGGGACGGCCGCTGGGGAACCCGTCTGACGGGCCCTGAAAAACCAGAAAATATCCCAGGGCGAGGGGCCCCGCTTCTGGGTGTATGTTTAGAGGGGACGCAGTCAGTGTGCTGGAGAGACGCTGCCGTCCCCCGCTCGCTGGAGCACGACTCACGACGGCCAGGGCGCGGAGACGCCCGAGTGTCTGTCCGCAGGGGCAGGGTAGGGCAGACGGGTCCTCGCGTGCACCCGCACGCTCACAACACACACGCGCACGCACGCGCACGCACGCGCACAGTGGGTGCTGTTTGGTCGTAAAAAATAACCCGGCCCCTTGTGACAATGTGGGTGCACTGGAGGACGCTGTGTTCAGCTACATGAGCCAGAGAAAGACAGACACCACGTGGCGCATCTCTAAGTAGGACCCAGCACCTTTTAAAAATCAGACTTGTGGAAAACCGAGCGGAGCGGCGGCGGGGGTCGGGACGACGGGCAGACGTCGGTCTGAGGCGCCGTCCGCGTTCCCCAGGCGGGCGGGCTCTGGGGCCGAGAGGCCCGGCGTGGCAACCACAGCCACCACCACGGCGGTCCGCGCTGGCGACTGACCGAGGGGGTAGGTCTTGCGTTCTCAGCACACACACACACGCACACACACGCACACACACACGCACACACAAAACCCCAGCAAAAGGGGGTACACTAACATGAGATGAGGCAGACGTGATTCTTATTTATAATGTGTACACACGTCACTTCACTTTTTTAAAAAAGTGAACAGGTCGCTTTTAAAAAGCCTGAAAATTCTAGTAAAAAAAAATCAACACATGCCTGAAAAAAACCAACACCGGAAGGGCGTCTCCCTGTCAGACGGGCCCGCTGTTTCCCTCTCAGCCCCACCGGCGCCGAGCAAATGCTGACCGCGCCGCCCGCGCCTGGACGCGGCTCCACACTACGGGGGGCGGAGCGCAGGGCCAGTCGGGCGCATGCGCGCCCCAGTCTCCCAGGACGAGCCCTGGTTGCACCTGCTGTCCCAAGGTGACCCGACAGTGTCACCTTGCACTATCAGCGCTCCCCGGCCTGGACGAGGAGTTAAACAGTCCTCCACCCACAACGCCCCCACACCGGAGGCGGCTCTTTGCCCAGTGAACGGGGAAACAGACTGGACGATGAAGAGGCAGGAGCGCAAGCACATGCGCGAGTCCAGAGGCACCGAGGAAAGTCAGACAGCCGCGACAGACCGGTCACTGCACAGTTCCACCTACAGCACCCCCTGGGAAAAGCAAGGTCAGAAAACAGCCCCGGACGCCACGGACACCCTTGAAGTAGAGGAATGAACTCGGCCACGAGCCCGGAGACGTCCCCCCAGGCCCTTGCACCTGTCCGGGGGCCCTGAGGCTTTCGGGGCCGCGTCCGGGTCCCTGGCGCTCTTCTTCCAGTAGGCGTCCGCGCCGTCATCCCAGCTGGAGAAGGAGCTGCTCCTCAGCTCCAGCGGCTCGTCCAAGTACCTGCAAGACACGAGCGGAACAGGCACTCCAGAGGACCTCGCTGAGCCCACCCATGCCGGGCTTGCGGCGACAGCACCCCGGAGGACCCCCTGTAAGGGGCAGGCAGCCCCGGGCCCGCCCGGTGAGACCGGCAGACAGGGGGCAAGTCCCGGCCACAGTGTGCCGCTCGCCTGGCCCTTCTTCCACCGATCTCCAGGGGTGGCAGCCTTGGGCAGGGGAGCCTCTGTTTATCTGCACGACCGACCGAGGTGCCTCCAGAGGCCAGGTGGTCTGGACGGAAGACCACCTGCACTCTCGGCTGTGTTGAGATCGGGGGATGCTGCCACTGCAGCAAACCCAGCCTATCCCCACAGCCCACGGCCTCTCTAGGTGCTGCCCGCTGTGGGTGAGGTGCCTCCTCTTTGCGGCGCCCGGTCCTGCCGAGTCGGGCCGTCACACGGGACGCTGCCGGGCCTGGGAACTGGCCGTAGCCGAGGACCCCCTCCTTGTCGGCCGTCCCTGTCCCTCGAGCCACGGGACACGGCTTCAGTCCTAACTGTAACTTCCACTCCACGTAAGTGATGGGAATCAGCCTCTGGGGTCAGGACTCGGAGCTGCGGACTGCTGAGACGGACCCAGCGCGGAGGCTCCTTCAGGCTGGAGCCGCGGCCCGGACCCGCAGACTCAGAGCGCCGCCGCCCTCCTGGGTCCATCCACACCTCAACCAGCTGAGCACCCCGACACGGCTGCCGCCCAGAGGCCGGCTCGACTGCCGCTCAGCGTCCAGTCCGGTCCGTGCGCTCAGCGAGAGACCGCAGCCCAGGATGCCTGCCCCGATGCAGGTGGCTGGAGGACCACCCCGCACACCAGAGAGTGTCGGGTTTGATTCCCGGTCAGGGCACGTACGGAAAACAACGGATCGGTGTTGCTCTCTCACGCCAATGTTCCTCTCTCTCTCTTTCCCTCTCTCTAAAAATAAACACAATCTTAAGAAAAGATGAATATAAAACAAAAAGGCAAGGACCCTGATGAGCTAAGCCTGGGTGAGGGGCGGTAAGAACAAACACACCCTTTTCCCCGGTAGAAACAGAGAAAGAGGGAAGGGGGAATCTGCTGTTGGAGACAGACACTGTGACTTTACGTGGGTGACAGAGAGAGAGCAGAATTCCCGAATGTGGCTTCTGCCTTCTCTGGCAAGAGGGTCAGCACGGACAAATGTCGCCACACCAGCCTTCTCTGCGGCAGGAAGACGTGTGGTGTCCCAAGCGCGTCTGGACCCCAGCCAAAAGCTGGCCAGGGGCCTCCCCCTGGACCCCCTCCCAAGTGGACTGGTGGGGGCCAGGAGCCGCGGGCCCTGCCCGGAGGAACGGCCAGCCGTGACTGTTAGGGGCGGAGACCCAGGCAAGGAAGTGGCCTGACGTCGCCCCAGAGAAGGGGGTTTGAGAGGTGTGGGGTGTGTGTGGGCCTGAGAGTTACCTTAAACCATTTGAGGGACTTACTTGTAGGGGCCCAGGGGAAAGATCTAAGACCGATTCAACGAGGAATTTGAAACATGCTCTGTAAGTCCCTGTGAGGGGCTGGCCCCTTTCGGGGAGGACACGGGGCCGGTGGTGGGGGACACATTCAGTCCCTGCTCCTGCGGGCGGGGGACTTGGGCACAGAAGCCCAGGGAGGTGAGGACGTAGGGACGGCCTGGGGGTGGGGGGCTGCACAGTCCCCCGGAGGGTGCTGGATGAGGCAGCGGGGGGGTGGGGGGTGGGGGGGGCGCGAGTGGGGCACTGGGCTGGGGCCGGGGGAGGCTGGAACTTCCAGGGTCTTCAAAACCCCGAGGTGCGGGGACTCAGGACTTTGCAGATTTAGTGTCACTGTTTAAGGAAGTAAAATGTTCCTTCACGTAAACCAAAGCGCTGGAACCAAGTGGCATCGGATTTTAAGAAAATGACTGAATTACTCAAAACGGCAGTCTCCAGGCCTCGTCCCCAAATTCTGACTGACCTTCTAATGTCCTGGTTTCCAGACCCTAGTTCTCGATGCTTGTACTTGAACTCTGCCCCCTGCTCCGTCTCTCCCAACCCTGAGACCCTGGTCCCTCCGCGTCCCTCAATGAGAGCGCCCTCGGGTCGCACGTGCGGGTTTGAGAGCCCCACAACGCCCCCCCCCCCAGGGCCACGCTGGCAGCAGAGGGTCGGGCAAGCTGCCTCGGCGTCCCGTTCTGTACTCAATGTTCAGTTACACTGTCTGCGTCCTGGAAACACTGGGACTCGATAAAGGACAGAGAACAAAGGCATGGCTGACCGTACTTCTAGCAGGAACAGCCCTCTTTCATAATTCATGGCACTCGAGCTCTAATGGGCTGATGAATAATTTGGGAGCCGTGGGAGCTCGCTGTGGGACGGCCAGGCTCCTGCCTTCCGCGAGGCCGAGCGGCTGCGCCCTTGCCCTGCGCACGGTGGGTCGGCCCGGCGGAGGCCAGCGCTGCCGCACCACAAACACCACGCCGAGGTCTCGCTGGCAGGCGTCCAGCCAAAGCAGTCGGGGTGGAAACACCACCTGCGCCCAGGTTCCAAACACAAATAGCTGCGTCATGGCAACAACGGCCTTCGGGGCCGGCTCTCCCGGCCAGGCTCCCGGAGAGGCAGAAGCCCGCAGCGTCCCGAGCTGCTGACTGGCTGGCCAGTAGGCGAGGCCCCGGGGAGCCGTCGGTGGCCGGGAGCGGGGGTGCACCCCCACAGGTGTCTTAGGGACGCTTCCCTGTCCCCCCGGCTGCGCAGCGGCGGTACCAGCTCAATCTGAGACTTGTTCTCCTTACTCCCCAAGGGGCGTCCTCTGACCACGCGCGCTCCCTCGCCACGCATGCGGCTGACACGCGCCGCCCTGCACGCGGCCTCCACGCCAAGTCCCACCCCTCCGCCGACCCAGCAGGACGAGCCCGCAGACGCCTCACGGAGGCCCGGCCGGCGCTCCCGCTGAGGGAGTGGGGCTGGTCCGCGGCCCCGGTCACTCCCACCCGGCGAACCGGGGGCCCGCCGGCTCTCTGAGGGGAGGACGGCGGACACTGCGAAGCCAGCGGTTTTTTTGTTTTGTGTTTGTAAAATATCGGGACTCGAAATAACTCGAAGCTATGCTGAGAGATTGTCAAGGACGGCCCTCTCCAGACACTCGGACGAGAGAGTGATGAGCCCACCAGTGTCACGTGTGTGGAGCCGCTGCCGCCTGCGTGACTGCCACACAACTCCTCGGCCCCTCGATGCGGCTGCGTGGGGGCCTCCCCGTGAGCACCGCCCGCTGATGACGACAGGCGCTCGTCCGAGTTCCCCACACTGCTAGCGTGCAGGTGGCCCTCACTGTGGTTTATTTAAGCGTCTGACAATAGTAATTAAACATTTAGATTGAGCCACGAGTCTCTTGAATTGGGTTTACCTATGATAACAGCAGGTAAAAGAACGTTAATGACAGACAAGCACCATCTCAAACGCTCTGCCTGTATTAACCCCTTGGACCCTCGCACCCCCCGGTGAGGTGGCCGTGGCCAGTGTCCCCAACTTCTGGACGAGGACGCTGCAGCACGGGGAGGGTGGATGACTCGGCCGAGGCCACACCGCCACTAAGTGGCTGAGCCGTGGTTCAGACCCAGGTCGCTGGTCCCGGGGCCTACATGCTCAGCCCCTCGCCTCCCAGCTGCCGCCTGCCCCTGCCGGTCGCACCCCAAGTTTACTTGGCGCCCTTGCAGCAGGACTCTCCCTGTGCTGGTCAGGTTGCTGGAGGAACCTCACGAGTGAGACGATTCAAGTTCAAGCCCGCCCTCCCTGCCCTTGCAGCCACTGGCGCCTGACCGCCACACTCTCCACGGTCAGCCTCACGCCTGGTTGGATGGGGAGCGCTCAGGGCCGGGGGGGGGGTCCTGGGAGCCCTCCAGAGTGCCAGCAGCGCTTCTTTCATTGTAATTTTTATATTTTTTACCAGATTTTATTTATGGTTTTTAGAGAGAGGGGATGGGAGGGAGAAAGAGAAGGAGGAAAACATCAATGGGCAAGAGACACATCGACTGGTCGCCCCTCGCATGCACACACCCCCTGCTGGGGACCTGGCCCGCAGCCCAGGAGTGTGCCCTGACCGGGAATGGAACAGGTGACCGTTTGGCTCACAGACTGGCACTCAGCCCACAGAGCCACACCAGCCGGGGCCGACAGCAGTGTTTTTTATTAATAAATACACACGCGCGCGCACACACACACACAGGATTTACTCTCCCTCCGCGCTGCCCCCCGAGACCCCTGAGTGGGCGTTCTGAAACGAGGCGTCCGCTGCAGCCGCCGACCATGAGACGCCCCAACCCCAGAACCAGGGCCGCAGCTCGGCTTCTGTCTCCAGGGGGCGGCGGCGGCGGAGCGCTTCTCCTGCTCCCGTTTCAGATGAATGCCGCTTTCCTACCTTACCGTCCCGTGTTTTCATGCTAGCGGACACTGCCCGCTTACGGATGGGTCCCCGATTTTTTTCACAGGGCACCCCTGCCTCCAGCCGAAGTTGTTAAACACAGCAAAGCAAACTGGTCTGTACTTGCTCCTCACGCAAATAAATGGACACGCTCACACTAGTCACCGCTTTTCGAAACACCCCTCTGCGGGTGGCTTTTAACAGGTTACCTGGAGCTGGAAGTGAAACAGGACTCCTCGCTGTCCTCGCCGTACTTTCTCCGCGGTTTTGCCGCGCCCGGTGTTTCCTGGTCGATGGTCTGCATGTCGGCCATTGCCGAGTGCGAAATGCCACTGGGAGAACGGGGAATAAAGCGGGGAAAAATTACAGTCGTTTGCTCGTAGAGGCACCCGTGTTCACCAAGGAATGTTTTAGTCTACACTCTCAACAGAGACTGATTGATTGGTGAGGTTAAAAACAGGAACAGTAAGAACGTTTTTTTTTTTTTGGCGTGCACATCAGTGAGGACTGTAACTAGTTACACAAAATACGGTCACACACTTCAGTTCCGCTGTGGTGTCCCCTGAATGACGAGTCAGCCCCATTTCCCATTTCCGAAAAATCAAATCTGGGCGTCTTCATGCTATACTGAACACCAGTGTAAAGCAAAACAATCAGGGAGAAGAAGGCGGCGGCACGCTAAGGAAATTCCGTGCAGGTTGAGAACGGCGGGACGGATCCGCTCGGGGCCAGCGGACCGGCCGGAGCCCCGGGGTCAGAGAGAGGCGAGCGCGCACGTACCTCCGGCCGTTTCCGAGCCCCATGCCCAGCCTCTCGGACTCCGCCTTCTTCTTCCCGCTCAGGTGCACCCGGTGGTCCTCTGTCTTCATGTGAATCTCAAGGTCCTTGTAGGCCAACCGTAAGGATGAAACGCTGCCAGAAAACCACATGCTCCTTAGTTCCGCTTCCCTTCCGTGCCCTTCAGGGGAGACGCTCAGCAGGATTAAACACGGCGCACACTCGTAGCTCGTGCGCCTCTCCACAATCAACTACCATGGTGGCAAGTTCGCAGTTGTGAAAGGTCTGTTCTGAGCAGGCGCTCGAGGTAATTTAAGTGAGTGATATGGTCCCTTTTGGTCACTGCTGCACCTACACTCCTGGCCTAGTTTATATGACCTGTTATCATGTAATAGTAGCTTACGTTACCTGTTACGTTTAACGACATATGCCACCATTATTTCTATACAGGATAGTGAAAAGCAGAATTTCTTACTCGGGCTGATATTTCATTACGCTTCCACAACGCACGTCAAAGTACGAGGTTAGTTCGCTGGTTTCTTCTGGCTTAAGGTAAAAATACGTGTACACGCGACCTTACACACGGAGGAGTTAGGAAGGGCTCACTAACTGCCACAGATGCTCCGATTCACAAGAACGTCTCCCACAGGCGCTCTGTCTGTGACCACGCTCCTGGGAGCACTTGAAATAGAACAGCCACTCCTCTGCCAACAGGTTTTTCTGCACAACCAGCCAGAAACCGAGTGTCTCTTCATCAAACGCCTGCCCCAAACACCACACCAAAATGGTGTATAAAACACGCCCTCACTCTCACATCTCCGCAAGTGCCGCAGCTACTCCCCTCTTCATGGAGAAAACTACGCCCCCAGTGGCCATAACGAGAGCGCCCGATCACACCGGTCAGAGAGCAACAGAACCTCAGGGGCTGAAAGGCAACCGGCCACCACACTGGGATTTCTAAGCTGTCATCCACTTTATAAAGTTGCGTAAAATCTCACGAATTCCTCGTAACCCAGGTGCTGTGTAAACTGCATGATAACACAGATGCACTTCTGTGCAGTAACCGGGAATCAGGACAGAGTCTCTCGCTGAGGAGGAGTAATCCTGCTTTTACTGTCCCCTTCCTGAGGCAGGCAGGGCTCCGTCATTCTGCCCTAACTCGGCAGTCTGTCTGTCTTCTCCACTGTCAGTCCTCCAGGGCGGCTCAGGGCAACACACACACTTGATCACTCAGGGAAAAAGTGCTCCTTCAAGTGTGACTTTGGAAAGGAAACACCAGATCTGTTTAAAATCGGGAACAGACACCGCTGTGGGAGCAGGTTCTTCTGGAAGGCGAATGGAAGGGAACGGAACGGTTCTCGGAGGGGAGGTCTGCCTCCCGAGGACACCGCCCCAGGACGGGGCCGCGGGACGGGGCCCACACCGGTGCTCACGGCCCGCCGCGCCCCGGGGGCCCCGCACCAATGCAGTCAGGCAGCCGGGACGCGAGTTTCTCAGAACTGCTGGAGCCCTTCCCAGCACCAGCCCCAGGGAGGGCTGGCGAGACACTCGGCTCCAGCCGGGGGGTTGAGCTCGGCCGCTTCCCCCACTCCCTGGGAACTGGGCGCGGCACCCGGGTGGGCTGAGCACCTGCCGCAGGCCAGGGCGAGGGCACGGCAGGGACAGTCCGGTTTCACAGTCCGGCGATGCTGGAGACGACACTGTCCGGCAGCTGACTGAGCCGAAATAACTTTATTTACTACAACAAAGTTAGTAACTCCATTACCCTGCAGACGGATAACATTCTCACGTCTTAGGGATCACGCACGCCCCTCACCGTAGCGGGCACGTCACCGCTCTGGCAACCCTGAGCCGCGGAAGGACGGGGATTCAGGCATATTTGGAACAGGGCCAAGAAAGCTGTCCACACGGGGTTCCCCAAAGAAATTCGCAAGCACCCACGACTGTGCCTTCGCCTCCACAGCCCATCGAGCAGCCCTAACAAAGGACACGAGTCAAGGCCGGCGCTGCCGCCCTGTGCACAGCCAGCCGCCGCCACCTGCCTGCAGGCAGGGCGCTCTCGCACGGGGCTCGCCGGAGCCAGGGCACAGAGCCCGCTCCGACCACCAAGGGAGGCCGCCACACACTCAGATTTACCCTCCTTCCCCCGGGCTCAAACACCTAGCTGAGAGAAAGTACAGTGACGTCCGAGACAACTAACGTTTTACATAAATCTTTTCAAACCACATTTAACCCTAAACGCGGTTGTGTGCTGCCCCCTCTGTGCCAGGAGCGGAATGACAGCGAGAGCCGGCAGTGGCAGGTCCACTCAGCGCGCTGGCGGTGCGAGCAGCAAGGCATCAGGAAGCCAGGACGGGCGCTTCCCGTGCGCTGGGCGCTGTGCGACGCACTTTCACGGGCGTTCACCCCGTTAATCCTCAGAACCACCTCGTAAGTGCTCTCGTTTTCATCCTGCAGTCGGTCACCACTCAAGCTAAAACTGACAGAAGGCACGTGAAACTTCGAGAAATGCCGTGTGACTGACACAAACCCGTGAGAACAGGACTCCCAGCCGCCCTTCCCTCCGGGCTGTGCCCACGCTCCCGGGGCTCACTCACAGCCGCTCACGGGCACGTCCCAGACACCCACATTTCTCCTCTGCTTCCTCCGGTGCTCGCTGACACCAGCCTCCTCCCCATTCTCTCTGTCCCGGCCGCCTTCAGCACGGCGCTCCTCGCAGACGGCAGGCGACACTGCCACCTGCCCTCACTGTCCCCTTCCTCGTTCCAGCCTCTTCAGCCCAGGCCTGTCCCCTGCACACGCGGGCCTTAATTCCCCCTTCTTCCTTCTCTTCCCTCTCCCTTCCCCCCTCCTCCCTGCCGAGTGGGACTCAACCCCTCTCAACGGCCACACCCACGGCCTTCCCTCGCAGATTCAGAATTCCGGTTCAGTGGGGTCTCACGGTGTGAACACTTTTCTCATTATTGATATAATTCACGTAATATAAAACTCACCTTGTAGAGTACATCGCCCAGTGGTGTTTAGCATGTTCATAAGGCGGGGCCGCCGTCACCACCACCTAATTCCAGAGCATTTCCACCACCCCTCCCAAAGCAAGCCCCGTTCCCATTACCAGTGACCTCCTTTCCCTACCCCTGCCCCCAGCCCGGGCAGCCACTGGCCCACCTCCTACCGGGGGCTTCACCTACTCTGGACACTTCACATATCCAGAATCGCGCACGTGTGGGCTTTGTGACTGGCTTCTCAGCACAGACTTCCCACGGTTTGCCGTGCCGTAGCACGAGTGCGTGCTCTGTTCCACTCCGTGGCTGAGTAACATTACGTTGTACAGCCGCACCGCGTCTTGTTTATGCACTCATCCGCTGCTGGGCATCTGGGTCGTTTCTACTTTCTGGCTACAGGGGTTCGTGCTGCTGTGAACATCCACGCACAAGTTTCTGTGTGAACGTGTGGACGTATGTTTCCATTTCTCGTAGGAGCAGAACCGCTGGCTCACACTTTATGTTTAACTTTTTACCTTGCCACCGGCAATGTATAAGGGTTGCAGTTTGTCTACATTCTCGCCAACACTTGTTACTGTCTGTCTTTCGGCTGTAGCCGCCTAGTGCCGGAAGTGGTGTCCCGCTGCGCATTCCCCTAATGACTAACGGTGCTGAGCGCCTTCCCCGTCCCCACCTGTCCCAGCGCGCCTCTCCCTTCCCAGCGAGGCCATCCCCGTCCAGGAACCGTCACTGCGTCCCCTTGCCATGGGCTCTCTCCCTTCCAGACCACACATCGCTGTGGTATTGGTTCTCGTAAAACTAAATTTCGCACTGCCCTCCTCATATCCATGTAAAAATAAGTGGTGTTACCAAAGTAACTCTGGGAGTTGCTTTAGTTAATAGTCGCAGTCACCAAAACCGTGCTACTGTAGCTAAATTAAACTTACATGGATTCTTCCTTAGGCGCTGTCCTGGCCAGGTCCTCCTGTTCCTTCATCTTATCCACAGCCTGGGCTTGTTTCTCTATCTCATTAAAGCACGTGTTCGTCAGCTTCTGAGCTCCCAAACTGCCTTTCTTGGCCCCGAGCTAGAAGATACACAAGACCGCATCTGTCCAAACTCTCTGACAGTTTGTGGCAACAGCTAACGCTCACGGCAGGCAGGCACTCCACACCCGTTCCCTTCCTCGGTCCCCACGACCCTGGGAGTGGGCATCACTCTGCCCCCCAGTGTCCGGAGGAGGAGCTGAAACTCATGCAAGTGAGGCGACCGCACAGCCAGTCAGTGACGAAGGCAGGATTCAAACCCTGGCACCTGCCCCGAGGGCACGGCACCTGACAGCACCGCCCCCCCCACCCAGGTGGCATTGCAAAGGCAACAATAACAGAAACTCCCAGGGCGCCTCTGCTGATTGGTTGTTTGTTTAGTTTCCTCATCAACGGGTAACTGTTAAGCAGCCAGCCGGGAACATCTTCACTTGGTGTGACATTCACCTCATTGAGCAAAACACAGGGTCTGTATCCAGGCCGGACTGCTTATCTCCAGCACGGCCCCCCGTCCGTGGGAACAAAACGGCAAGGGGGGCTCTCCCAAGTGCGCGCGCCACCCAGAGCTGAACCGTCGGCACCGCGCACACACGTCATACTCACGCCTTTCTTAGCTTGGCTTGGTTTCTTTTTTATGATAGAAGAAACCTCTGTCAAAAAATGGAAAGTAGAAAGTCAGACAACTAGAAATACGTATTTTTAGTGTTTCTTTTTTAAAAAGTCTAAGACACCGCACATTTTTATTTAAGAGGCTGTAAGGTTTTCCGCACCGGGCGGTCATCCAGGAGACAAGTGCAGGGCGGGGCACAGGAAGCGTGCCGCCGTCCGCGCGAGGGAGACTCCGTAGTTACTCAGCAGCAACACAGGGATAGACTGTGCTCGGCACCCCCAGTCCGTCGCCCCCCTCCCCCGCCCCCCGGCGCCGCCCGGTGCAGGGGCACATTTTACAAGGACAGAGCTTCACCGAGGTGGGGTCCTCGGCATTCCCACACAGCGCCCCAACCCAGGACACACGTCTTCCGGACCCCACGCTGCAGGGGAACGAAGAGCCTGCGCCGGCCCCACCCCCGCTCCCTTCGGGGGGTGCCTCACGCTCATCAGAGCACACTCTCCCACGAGCCTCGGCCCCTGAAAACTTTCAGAGCTCTTTCACAATACCCAGTCAGCCGGGCATTACGTATGCGGCTAAAGCAGCAAGTGATATGCTTCTCCACCTCCAGTTACGTACAGATTTTATCACATTAATCGATGAGAAACATAAAGCAGCATGTTATTTTAGTATCAGTACTTTCTAAAGCGCACAAAAATATGTAACACTTTTAGAGAAAGTTTCTAAAATATTGTTTTTGGGGTCAACTTTAATCATAGAATATATATTTTGTTTTCAGAATCATGGGTAAGAGGCCCAGTAAAAATAAAATCTTAATTTTTTTTTTTTACGAAGCTGAAAACGTGCTGTACGAGGAAAACACAGCATAAAACCACCACCACCGAGGGATCAGCCCTAGCGAGAGGACACCACCTCCCACCTCGAGCAGGAAAACGAGGCCCACGGACGTCTTTCCGTCCAGGACGCCCACCTCCGCGCTGCAGTGCTCAAGGAGCCTGCTCCCAACCTCCCACAAGGCTCTTAATGTGCAATGAAAAGATCTGAAACACTTCTAACAGTCATTTTTTACTAAAGCAGTTGCTTTCCAATGACTACAGGGTAATGTGCACCAATTTCAGATTACACTTCCCCGGTAACGAAGAACTAAAGACTACGTTGGCCTGTTGTCAAATCAGTGAGAGGAGAGAGTGCCACGAGCCCCTGAGCACACAGGGACGGGGGCTGCCCTGACATCTGCGGGGGCGCTGGAAACGCAGACCAGCCCCACGCTCACCGCAGGCCACCAGCACCGCCGCCGTCCCGGCCAGGTCCCCAGGGGCGCTGCACCGGGGCACAGCTACCAGCCGGCTCACACAGAACGGCTGAATAAACCTCACTAGGAGATTACAGACTCATAATCATGGTGCCCCGTGCTCTATAAATTCTAGGCAGAATGCAAAGATTCATTTTTTTTCTTTAATGAATCTCACTCTCTAAATCAGAATATTCTTTTTTTAAAAAAAAGATTTCATTTATTTGTTTTTAGAGAGGGGAAAAGAGGGAGAAAGAAAGGGAGAGAAACATTAATGTGTGTTTGCCTCTCACATGCCCCTACTGGGGGCCTAACCCATCAACCCAGGCATGTGCCCTGACTGGGAATCGAACCAGCAACCCTTTGGTTCGCAGGCTGGCATTCAATCCATTGAGCCACAGCAGCCAGGCCACATCAGACTATTCTTATGCACATTACCTAAGGCAGCCTTGGTTGGCACGTTAAGACCTTCCACACTTGGTCCTTGCTCTGGTCCACCTGCAAGTTAAAAATATTGATATTAATGCAGAAAATATACTCTTCAAACTTGCTTTTGAATATGTAATATATCCAACTTGCTGAGTACTACCTATCTTATCCCATTTTTTCGGTGAGTCCCTTTCTTTTCAGCTCCATATCCTATTTTATCATAAGAATTTTGATTTACAAGTGCATTAAGAAAGAAGTGCATTTTTTATCCAGTTGCTTTACAGAATAAAAATCTTAATGGCCTCCCTACTTACTGTCATTCAGAATTCTACCTTACGACTCCGTTTTGAAGTAGACTGCTCTGAGACAGCTAGTACGTGTGTGGCGCGTACGCCCAGCATATGGTATCTGGAAACTCTGACACCAACGATACCAATGATGGAAGCCTAAATTTTCAGTTGCCAAGCAATCTGCCCTGTTTTCTAGTTGACCTAAAAAATGATCCTGGTTAGGAACTCTATTAAAGTCTTTACTTAAAAACATTCTGCAATTTTAACTGTATTACTTTAAAAATGGGTAAACATCATGTAGTACATCCACGCGACAGAATGTTATTTGGTCATAAAAGAAAAAGAAATACTGGCACATGCTACAACACGGATGAACCTATAAAAAATTACGTTAGGCGCAAGAATCTGGTCACAAAAGACCTCCTACTGTCTGACTCCACTTCTGCGAAGTGTCCAGGGCAGATGGACCCTCACACACAGAACGCGGACTGGAGGCCGCCAGGGGCTGGCAGCTGGGGCAGGAAAGAAAGGGGAGTGACTATTAATGAAGATGGGCTTTTTTTTGTAAAGTTATATTTTATTTAACTTATTTTGAGACAGAAAGAGACACCAATTTGCTGTTTCACTTATGCAACTCATTGGTTGATGCTCGTATGTGCCCTGACTGGGGATCGAACCCACAACCTTGGCATATGTGGATGACGCCCTCACCAACTGAGCTACCCAGCCAGGCTGGGAGGGTGTTCTTTGCAGGGTGATGGAAATGTTCTGGAATTGGTGACGAGGGGGGCACAACCCTGGGAATATACTTAACTCCACCGAACTGCATACTTCAAAGGGTGAATCTTATGGTGCACGAATTGTATGTCGATAAAGCTGTCATTTAAAGAGGGGCATGCCCGACAGAGGAAACGCAACTGTTTCATTTTTGCAGATATTAGAAGGTAAACTCTGGCGAAGGCTTTTAAGTCGGCAGAGGAGGACAGGGCGAACGACAATGTCCTGCAGAAAAAGGCCCGAGGGCGCGGCTACCAAGCTCCGCCTCCGGGCGGGGACCGCGCTGGGTGGGCTGTGCTGGGTGGGCCATGGGTGGAGAAACTGCGGCGAGGGAGGGCCCCCCAGCAGAGCACTTGAGGCCTCACGCTCTATTTGTCAAAATTACACTGTTGTTCCCCCTTCACAGGGCAGTCCTTCGGTTTACTTAGGACTGCACCGGCCGCCCAGTGCTGACGGACGCGATGCTGTCTGAGGCCCCGAGACAGCGAGTCTCCCTGCCGGCTCCTTCAGTAAGACTCTGGCCCTGGCCGGGCGGCTCAGGCGGTGGGAGCGTCGGACCACACAGCAAAAGGGGGCAGGTCTGATTCCTGGTCAGGGCAAACACCTGGACTGGAGGTGCGGTCCCTGGCAGGGGCGTGGAGGGGAAACAACTGATCAATGTTTCTTTCTCACATCGACGTCTCTCTCCCCGCTGCGCCCCCTCTCTAAAATCAACACACACATCCTCGGGTGAGGATTTTTAAAAAACAGAGAAGAAAAATTCTGGATGGAGAAGAGGCAGGAAAAGTGCTGTTACAGGTACAAAAGGAGAGGGGTTCTAAACAATAAAACCTTTTAGGAGAAACTCTTCAGGGGTTACTTAAAAAATATTTCCAAGGACAAAATCCTGTTCTGCATTTGGTTACCTTTGTTTTCTGTTGCTACAGTGGACCGAGACACGGGACGTGACAGGTTATGTGGCTCTCACACAGCAGCTAACCTTCAATCTCAAAAGGCCTTTTACGCTACTGAGTTGTAATAGTAACGATGTTCAAATGACTGTCTGTATCTCAGAAGCTACAAACCCCAGTCTTTCCTGTCAGTCGGGAGTGTTGGAATCAGTTTTTCTCTTCTCCCTTATGGGTAACGACAAACCAATCCCCAGCTCAGGTACATTCGTTATCTTAAAGAAGAATTTCTCGCCCTGGCCGGGTAGCTCGGTTGGTTAGAGCATCATATCTTGATACACTAAGGTTGCGGGTTCAAACCCCAGTCAGGGCATATACAAAAATTAACCAATGAATGCAAAAATAAGTGGCACAACAAATCGACGTCTCTCTCTCTCTCTCTCTAGAAATCAATTAAAATAGAAAAAAAAAGAGAATTTGGGCGCTCACAGTCTGGTGGACTCACAGTCTGGCGGAAGGGGTAGGCTTAGGGACACGTCAGTCCCTGAGGCCGAGCGCACTGGGCCGAGAGGAAGGCCCACCGTCGGTGTGGTTGTGGCCGGGGTGCTCGGGGGCTCCCTGGGGAGAGGACTGGGAGCCGAGGCTCCAGGAAGGAGGCGGCCACGTGACAATCGGGCCGAGGCCCACCGGAACCCAGCAGAAGGCACGCACAGGGAAGAAGTGCGGGGCCGGGCGGCTGCAGGGCAGCGCAAGTCAGAGAAACCGGAGAGCTCAGCTCCGCCCGGGGGCGTCCATGTCGTCTCCGTAGACGTTCAGGGCCAGGTGCAGAAAAGACGCAGTGTGAAAAAAGTCACAGGCTGCACACCATACAAAACCAGTCAGCGTTCTTTGCGTATTAATGAGCTTCTTGTCTAAATACGAATTGCATTTAAAAAAAGATTATTTATTTTTAGAGAGAGAGAAAGGGAGGGAGAGAGAGACGGAGAGGAACATCAGTGTGCAAGAGAAACACTGATCAACCTAAGTATGTGCCCTGACCGGGATTCGAACCAGCAACCTTCACTTTGAGGGACAACCCCAACCAAGAGAACCACGCAGGCCAGGAGTGAACTGTAAATTTCTATCACTTGCCTTTAAGGCACTGTTCAGACCACCAATGTTACATTTCCAGTAGTCAGATTTACGAATCTCTTTCATCCATGTTATTCATGTGACACAAGTGGTTTTTCAATTTATTTTTAGATTTAATCTTCATTTAATCTTTTTCCCCGTTACCATTTAGTCCCCTTATTCCACCCCCCCTATTTTTAAATGTAAGCAATTGCTATAAGTATATGTACAATAAATACAATCCTATAATGAAGTCACCAAATGTGAATCATTAGGTATCAACTGTTCATAGAAGTTTTTTAAATTGAGATGTTATTTTCTTATTATAAAACAGATACTCATTATAAAAGTTTAGTCACTTCAAAACTGCGTCAAGTTAAAAGCACAAATCCTCGGCAATCTCCTCCTCCAGTTAAGAGTCTGGTGTGTGTTCCAGAATGTTTTGTGTGTGTGTGTGTGTGTGTGTGTGTGTGTGTGTTTCTGTTTCTTACGAACATGAGGTCCCAGCCCGGTTCAGTAACCTGCTTCCTCCCCCCGCAGTGTGCCTCACTCTCCGAGCGTGTCGCAGCGTGCCCCGACCCTAGGATGGCAGTCTGGGACAGCCCCCAGGCTACCTTCGCTATCTGCTGGGGGGGTGTCCTCGCTCCTCGGTGCCAAAGAAGATGGTTCTGGGGGAGCTGAGGCCCACCGCGTGCCGGTCACCTGAAACGAAGAGAGAAAAGCTGTAAAAACACCAATCAAAAAGGGGGAAAACCAGTAATTTAAAGAGTCACCTTCTTAGTACCTGGATTAGTGGGAAGGAAGGATAATATTGTATTAAACGTGTTTAATATTAAATCTCTATTTCAATGCTCAAATTCCCTACTTTTCCTCCTGTTTAAAAAATAAAATCCGTATTACGCAATAATTTCAGGTTTACACAGAAGATGCTTAAGATACTACTAGAGTTTCTTACTTCTGACCCAGCTTCCTTTAATGCTAAAATCCCCATGGTGCACCTGTCAAGACTAAGGATTACGATGTTTCATTACTAGCTACACTTTATTCGGATTTCACCAGTTTCTCCTCCGGCACTTCTTTTCCGTTCCAGGATCCCACGCTGCATTTGTTCCTTCTCCACAGCCTCCCCCGGTTTGTAAGAGTTTCTCTGTCTTTCCTGGTTTTTCACGACCTTGAGACTTTGGACAGGTACTGATCGGTATTTTGTAGCATGCCCCTCGGTCGGGGTCTGTCTGGTGCCTCCCTGCGCTGAGACGAGACTGGGGGAAAGAGCGCCGCAGGGGTGAGGGGCCCCTCGCACTTCCCCACGCCAACACGACCACACGCCGGCGACGCCAGCCCGGAGCACGTGGTTCGGGAGCTGCCTGCCGGTCTCCTCCCGGCCAGCTTCTGTCCCCCCGTTCCACTTCCCAGTCTCGGGAAGCCCGTCACCAAGCCTGGCCTCCAGTCAAAAGCAGGGGGACACAATCCTACCTCCTGGAAGGGGAGTGTCGATTATACAGGATTTAGAATGTTTCTGTAAGGAAGAGGGTCCCTTCTCCCCATTTATTTCTTCAATCATCTGTTTACATCAGTGTGGACTTACGGGTAGTTATTTCATCCTTTGCATTATAATTCAATACTGTCATTATTTATGTTGTTGTTCAAACTGTTCCAGCTCTGACCACTGGAAGCCCCCTCTGGTCGGTTCCCGAGTCCTTCAGCCCTGACGCGCCCACCCCCACGCCCTCCCTCTAGCACACCCTCACTTTCTCCCCCTACGGGGCGCTCCGGGCTCATCTGCCCCCGCCGCCCCCGCCGCCCCCGCCCTGCTCTCCGCCTCTGCTCCAACGGCGGCCCTGGTTCTTCGGACCGGAAAAGGGTGTTTGGAACCAAGATCTGGGTCCTGGGTGTGCTGGCTGTACTGAAATGTCACTGTCCCCAGGCCCTCTCAGTGGGCAGAGCCAGGCAACGCACATCTGCGGGTCTTCACCCATGTACACACACACACACATGTGTCTAGAATGAGTCCTCCATCGTGTGTGTGTGTGTGTGTGTGTGTGTGACTGCAGACAGTAAACACGAACTCCTGCTAACATCTCCAACGGTAACCCCCACCAAACCACTCATTTCCCTCCTCTTTTCAGCCCCTCATTTCTCTTTTTAACTTTTCTCAGCTACTAACCATGGATATTCTGTGTCTAGTTCTAAATTAAACAATAGCAAGGCTCATAATAGAACACCTTATCTTTTTTTATTGTTTTCTGTTCCCCTCTTTTTAAAAAATATTTTATTGCTTTTAGAGAGACAGGGAAGGAGGGAGAAAGAGAGGGAGAGAAATGTTAATGTGTGGTTGCCTCTCACGTGCCCCCTACTGGGGACCTGGCCTGTAACCCAGGCATGTGCCCTGACTGGGAATCGAACCTGCCACCTTTTGGTTTGCAGGCCGGTGCTCAATCCACACCAGCCAGGTGTTTCCCTCTTTGTTGATAACTATTTCTGGTAACTACTGACTATATTAATAACATGTATATGCAAATTATGATAGCAAAAAAATCAAGGCCTAGCAGTTTATAAAACTACACATTTTTTAAACTTGAAAATTAACTGAAGACTGGATTGAGCAGTAGTTCAATCCATTGGTGCGCCTCCCCAGCGGCACTAGGAGGCGGCAGGGCAGCGGACAGAACAGCTGAGGCTTTGAGTCGGAGGTCAGCACACACGGCCTTAAAGGACCAGTCAGTAGATAGTTTAGGCTTCAGAGGCTCATAGCCCCTGATGTAATAACGACTCTGGGAAAATCCACAGGAGGACCACGGCTTGTTGCCACTGCCACCAACGGGCCGCAAAGATGAAGATAATGATACTGACAGCACTCACCGACGGCTCACTCTATGCCAGGCGCTAGTTGCTGTAACCTTATTAACTCATTTCATTCTCACACTCGCCTTGAGACGGTTCTGGCTACACAGCGGGCCCCTAATATTCTAGCCCCTAATAAAATTTGGGTTAAAAAAATCCCGTCCTGTCCTGGCTAAGGTTTGATTCCCAGTTAGGGCACATGCCTGGGTTGCAGGCCAGGTCCCCAGTGGGGGGCACGTGAGAGGCTGGTGTGGCTCAGTGGATTGGGTGCAGGCCAGGGGACCAATGGGTCGCTGGTTCAATTCCCAGTCAGGGCACGTGCCTGGGTTGCTGGTCGGGCCCCCAATGGGGGGTATGTGAGAGGCAACCACACTTGATACGTCTCTCCCTCTCTTTCTCCCTCCCTTTCCCTCTCTCTAAAAATAAATAAATAAAACATTAAACAAACAAACAAAGAAACCCTGCCCTCATTCTCTCTCAGTCCCAGAGCTGCGCACCACACTGCAGCAGACTGCTAGTGATCAGCTTCCCGGGCAGCCGCGTGAACGCGGTGCAGCTGAGTTCCAGCCAGGCATCTGGGCAGAGCTGCTGGGCGCGCTCCCTGGATTCTGCCTCTAAGGCGAGGGAGCACGTGCTTTCCTGGGAGCCCTCTTCGCACAGTGGGAAAGGCCGCGAACTGGAGAGGCCTCTGTGGACCCCGGGGTGAAAGCCACATGTGAGAACCACCAAACGAACCCCTTGGGCAACCCTGGGCAGCCCCTCCTAGCGGCGATGAGAAAGCCATCCCCACCTTGGTTAAGCGCCTGCGTTCCAGGCGGTCAGTCCCAGCAGCCGAGCCCGTGCCCTCACTGAAGCCCTGCAAACACACACCCTCCACAGCGTTTGGCGACCCAAACGCTTTGTTATGGAGGGTTTTGAACGGACCAGTGAAACCCAAATCACATAGGCCAGAAAATTTTTAAATACAATTTTCCTTGTAGAAGGGAGTACCTTCCACAGCTTACAGCTGCCGCAGTAAGCATACTTACCACAAAGCTTTGCGAAGCGGAACACGTACCTCTGGGGAAGCGTGCGAAGCAAAGAAGTCCTCCTCCTTGGGTGCGGGGGACGAAGGCGGGACCACACAGCTATCCAGCCACAGCTAGAACGAAGCATGAAGCTCGTCAGCACTTCCCCGGCTTCGACGGCCTTACTAAACGCCCTCCACTCCTCCTCCAGAGACCCGTCTGCTAACCACGGGTCCTTCCCGTCGTGTTCAAGTCAGCAACAGGCTGTGCGGGACCCTGAGCACATTTCAGGGACGGCCCAGGGCAGCGAGCTCTGCTTCCGAGCCCCTCCCCGAGGAGGCCGCAAAGGGACCTGAGTGCAGGGCCCAAGGTTCGGCCGAGCCTCCTCGTCTGTGGCGCCCTTCCTTGCAAATGCACTACGATCTGCTTGCAGCGCCCCAAAACAACTCCCGCTCCGAGCAGCGGGGCCGTGAGCCGCCCCAGGTGTTCATTCCCAGCGGGGCTGAGCAAGGCGACTCTCGGCCATGTTTCAGTTCGTGCTGTCCAGCAAGTGCCCGTTCCGTGGCCTATTTATTTAGTGCCACGTTGTCACATTTTGTGCCTTCCGCGGGTGGTCTCACGGGTTAAGATGGCCCCGCGCACGGTGCGGGCGCGCTGCCCGGGGCCCTAGGCGCCGAGGCCGTGAGGACCTGAGCCCCGGTGCCGCCGCCCGAGCGCCACGTCAGAGCCCACGACCCGCACTAAGGAGGGCGTCCCCACCCAGAAGCACAGGTAAAACACGACAGGGGACGACGACAACATGACAGCGTGCACGTGGACGCAGGAGAACGGCCGAGAGCAGCCCTCTGGGGCGTTCGGCACCCCCTCTGCGCAAAGGCACGTCGCCTGAAGGGGAGGGGCCGACCTACGCAGGGCCGCGCCTACGTCAGCGCCGCGCTTACGTCAGTGCCGTGCTTCCGCGTGGCCTGCGAGGCCAGCGACTTGATCTTGTCCCTGTAGAGCTGGGCCGCACGGCTGTTGTACTTGGCGTTGGTGTCGCTGGTGGCACAGCCGTGCTGGTGGAAAAAGGACGCCTGCGGAGGACAGTGCGGTTACTGGCGACACTGCAGCACGGCGCACTCGGCGACCCAAACGCTTTGTTATGGAGGGTTTTGAACGGACCAGTGAAACCCAAATCACATAGGCCAGAAAATTTTTAAATACAATTTTCCTTGTAGAAGGGAGTACCTTCCACAGACGTAACATGGGTATTTTGGTAAAACTGGACATAAGCCTTGAATTACAAAATGGAATAGCTGGCTTCGTCTCTCCAGGAAACCGCCTCCGTCACTCTGTTATTTGGGGAGACGCTTTCCACTCAAGTCTACTTTTAATTCGTGAGAAAGCCACTTTAATTTGGATTCCACGAAATTAGAATTTCTGGCAAATTGGGTAGGAGCGATGCCAGCCTTCACCTTGCTCAGCACTATGTATTCATGACCAGAGACAGGCGAGGCGACAAATGCTTAAACAACTGGAGGGGGCTGCTTCCAGCCCCTCTAAGGCTCCAAGCACAGACATGAATGATTGAAGTCATGTCTTAGTTAAGGAGGCATTCCCAAAACCTTTGTGAGCACTCCTTGTATTGACCCAGTTTAGTCGGTAATGGTGCTGCGCACTCGCACGTACCAGATCCTGGTCTACGCTCTTGGGGTGCCGACCCATTGTTAGGTCCTCACAGCAACACCGCCAGCCGTCACTGTTACTATCTACACTTTGCAGATGGGGACACTGGAGCCCAGAGAGGCTCAACAACTTGCCCAGTGTCACGCAGGTAAGTGGGAGGCAGAGCTGGCATTCAGACTCGGGTAGGATGGTTCCAACTCCACTGCTGAGGGGAACGGCCAATGGCCTGACCCTTCCCCACCCCAAACCTGTGCCACCCCGGCTGGCCGGAGATGAGAAAGCTGCTCTCTGGAGGTGGGCGGGTGTGGGGGCGGGGGGCTCTGCAACCTTGGGAAGGCTTAGAAATAAGGACAGAGAAAATGGAATCCACAGTATTGGAACAAGTCTGTGGACATCATGAAAATGAGCATGGGTTCTTAATAAGATGCTTGAAATATTAAGGATTGAATGCATTTCTTTAAAGATTTTTATTTATTTATTTTTAGGGAAAGGGGAGGAAGGGAGACAAACATCATTGTGTGAAAGATCAGCTGCTTCTCATCTGGACCACAACCCACGCATGTGCCCTGACTGGGAATGGAACCTGCAGCCTTTTGGTTCACAGGCTCAATCCACTGAGCCACACCAGCCACGGCGGACTGAGTGTATTCCTAATGGGGCAAAACTGTTTCTTGGAAAGTGGAAAAAAATCTTAGTTATTACAATGGTTTGTGACCTTCCAATGCTCACCCTTATCAGACAAAATCATATTCCTTGGTATTTAATTTCCTCTCCCTAGGGAAATGAAATCCAATTTAAATTTAAAATAATCTAACTTTAAGTTTTCTGCTTAGGGAACAATAATGAAAAAAGTTTGAGAAACACTAATCCAAGGGAATCTGGTATTTTGAAAACTACTATTTAGATTTATAATTTGATTTTAAATATAAAATTGATGCTAGATACAGTTTTTATTTGAAATGTATACCAATTTGATTTCTTATACTTTGAATGTTTAATGGCATGTCTATGGGAATCCTATTAATTAAACTTCTACCACTTGGCATTATAAATATGGTATTAGCCCTGGCTGCTGTGGCTCAGTGGATTGCATGCCAGCCTGCGAACCAAAAGGTTGCCGGTTCAATTCCCAGCCAGGGCACATACCTGGGTTGCAGGCCACATTTCTGGGGAGGGGTGTGAAAGGCAACCGATTGATGTTTCTCTCCCTCTTTTTCTCCCTCCCTTCCCCTCTCTCTAAAAAAAAATAAACAAACAAAATCTTTAAAAAACTAAATAGGGTATCAGTGCTTTAGGTGATTTTGCTGGCTAGACTTGTAAGGCTGCCAATTTAGAGTTTGAGAAATCAGATATATTGAATCTGTAAATGAAGTTTAAAAAGTTTGAGGATCCTTAGGTCTGTAAGTAGGGCTTAAGTAGTATATTCTTTTATATACAACTATAAACTGGCCATTTAATTGGTTATTTTTTGCACAGAAATTAATAAGCTTGCAAATTAATATATGGTATCTATATACCGTAATTGAAAACTTGAGAATAGGCTTTCTTAAAAATTCGTAGGTTTCACAAACTGAGTACAGTTCAGGTGCAAGCAGCTGTACGCACCCTTCCCGTCTCAGCACAGAAGTCGCCACTGCGCACTAGGAACTATGGCCCTGAAGAAGCCTCCCCGTTCCTCTGTGTCACCGCCTTCCGTTTTCATTCTCTTCACAGCACTGTCACCACTGAAGGTTCTTGTTTATTTGGCTGCCTGTCTCTGTCCGTAAGAGAGGGGGTCTACTTGTCTTGTTCATCACTAGGTCCCAGCACCCAGCCCAAAGCCCTGTGTTTATTAGGCATTTAACAGGTGGCTGGACAAACGAGTCGGCCTCCAGAGCCCCTCACACCTTTCCGCTGTCCGACAGGCCTCCCGCACCGCGTGAGTGCTGAGCTTCTTCACGAGTGGAACACACATTCACACAGAAGGGAAACAAGTCTGAGATGCACTTACTGCATTAGCATTTCCTCCAACTTGCATGCATCGCAACTGAAACCAAGACCAGTTAGAATCCAACTCTGTAGATCTAAATGGAAAGAACATTCTTAAATGTTAATACTTTTCTGCCCCAGAATCAAGCCACTAAACTTTTGAGAACAAGGTTTCCTTGATCCTTAGGACCCTGAAGAATTCTAAGTGCATGTTCACAGAGACACGTGCTTCCACGTGGTGGTGGGGGTGCTCCAAAGTGCATGACCGTTGGTCCAGCAGCTCCCGGCCCCTCTCACCCCTCCCGGAAGCCAGGGCTCTGATGACCCGCCCACCTGCTCCCCTCCACGCCGACCACAGGCAGGCCATGCAGGCCAGCGGAAGGCGACACTGACTCCAGCGGCCACACCCTCTAGGGAACAGAATACGACAAGCTTCCTGGGGCTGCTGGAGTGGCGCTGCCTCTGCCTCACACCCTTAGTGGGTCATGACCTAAAATTAGGTGATGTCTCTACTCAGAATACACGTCCTGTTTGGATTTTTCCAGAGGTCCACTTCGACCCCTAGCAGAGCCTGGAGGATGCTCAAAGCTTCACCATCAGGTGGAAGGGACCTACCCACCAGCACCACCATGAGGAAGGGAAGAAGACTTGGGACTGAACGCTCTTGACGTGAAAGCTGCAAGTGCCTCCTACCCCCCACACCTGAAACCCAAGGTCACCTCAGGGCTCGGTAAAGGCACTAAGTGTATTTCCCAACAATAAAAACTCAGCCCTGGCTGGTGTGGCTCAGTGGGTTGAGTGCCGGCCTGTGAACCAACGGGTTTACAAGGCCATTCAAACGGTAAGGGTAAACCAAACCAGGTCAGTCCCCATCAGGGCACATGCCAGGTCCCCAGTAGGGGGCGCGCGAGAGGCAACCACACATTGATCTCTTTTTGGCCTCCCTCCCTCCCTTTCTCCCTCCCTTCCCCTAAAAAAATAAATTAATATCTTTAAAAAAATTGTAACCAAGTGATCAGTGCAAAGCAAGACAGGACAGCACAATGATGTTGGAGCTCTTCATATTGAACGGACAGGAGCAGGAGGCAAGGCTCTCCTGGATTCTGCAATAGCTTGTCCCGCACTTACTGTCGGGGAATGCGGACCAGTTAGAATGGGCGTAGGGAGAATACCCCTCACAAAATGGGCACGGGAGAAAGAAAAAAGGCTTCAGACCCACCCAAAATGTCCTCTTACGCTGCCCTTCCATTTACCAATGTCTATGCCTATTTGTAACCTTTAACCTTTGTGAATGTTAAGATGCTATTTTAAAGCCAATAGCTGCCTTAGGATGAATAATGACACGTTATTATTATTATATACATATGACATATCTACTTCATGGTGACATAAACAGTAAAAATTAAACCGTACTTGATAGGAAGCATATTTCTCAAAGACAGTAATAAACCTTTCGGAATGTGATTACCAAGGTGATGCAATTACGTATCTCGTTCTGCAGTCCCTTCTCTGGAAGATCTCGCTTAGTCACCACACTGTCGTGATCCCTCTCCCCCCGGGCAGCCTTAGGTGGCCGTCCCCACCCCCTCGGTCGCAGGTGGCCGTTCCCAGCGCGGCCCTGGAGACAGACCGAGAGATCGCAAGTCTCTGCTCCGCCACTCTGGCCGCACGACCCCGGAGAGGTGACTCACTCGATCTCTGTACCTCACTGTCCTCCTCTGTTCCTCTGTGGAGCAGGGACACTTACAGGACTGTCTGTGTTGCCCTTGCGGGAATTAAATACGCTACTACCTGAAAAGTGTCTGGCTCCTGGTAAACACCATACGGCTGAAAAGTGGCACCATCACCCTCACCGTCGTGGTAACCCTGCCACACTGAGCTAGAAGCAGCCAGCTCCAGGGGGCAGGCGCGCCCCCCATTTTTCTCTCATACGCCTGGCGCGAGCACATAAGAGGTGCCCGACTTAAACTAGGGCTAAAGCTGCAGCTACAAGTCCTCAGACTTGCTAACCTGGCTTACAACTTTCAGTCCTAAACGATCTCTGAGGAAATAAAGCCAAACATTGTTTATATGTTTCTTAGAAATAAAAAATAAAAAACAAACAAACAAACCCTGAATTGTTCTTGAATTGAGCTGACAGCAATTCTCTTGCACATACTGGAATTTTAAAAAGAAATGTTGCCCTGGCTGGAGTAGCTCAGTGGATTGAGCACTGGCCTCCAAACCAGAGGGTTGCTGGTTCGATTCCCGGTCAGGGCACGTGCCTGGGTTGCAGGCCAGGTCCCCAGTAGGGGGCTCATGAGAGGCAACCACACACTGATGCTCCTTTCCCTCTCTTTCTCCCTCCCTTTCTCTCTCTAAAAATAAATAAATAAAACATCTTTAAAAAATAAAACGAAATGTGATGACAGAGGACTCGGAACGCAGCCAACCTGCGGAAGAAACCTGAGTGGTGGTGCACCGGCGCGCCTTCCTACACGAGGAGGTGGCTCAGTGCAGGTTGTTTCTTCCCTTCAGTTTAGGCGAAGGGACGGGAAAGGTGAGAGAATCTGAGCGCTGAGAAAAAAGCAGCAAAAATAACAAAAGTTGAAGGATGAGCTGTCACTGTAACCACATAGCTCCAGTTAACCAACTACGTAACGGAGGAGACAGGCTTCCCACAACCTCCGTAGTCCTTACATGAGTCAAGGTACAAGGTTTTGCCTGATAAGCTAGTGCTTGTAATTATTTTAATCAGTAAAAAATGTTCACAGAACGGCCCTCCACCTCTTGAAACATAAAAGATGCTGAGTGTCCTTATCGTCCTTGACCTCGCCTCGGCCAAACCCTGGACTGCCGGCCTCTCACCAGTCATTCTAACCGCTGTTTCGAGTCCTTCACAAGCGCCGTGACTCATCCCGTTACATTTATCTGACTTCCACAAGGCTAGGGACCAAACCCGCGGGAGCCCAGCCTCCCCAGGCTCTCGGTCCCGCCCTTCCCCGATCGCGGGACACGCCCGAAAACCGCCCGCCTCCTGGATGGGCTGGAGCCGGCGGTGCCCCTCAGGGGTGAGGCCAAGGGAGGACCCGGGTGCAAGGGCAGGGCTTGGTAGATAAGAGGGGGAGAGAGCACAGGAAGAGGGAGAGACAGACGACCACTCCCACAGCGCCCGCGCCCACCCTCCCGCGCTCCGGGCGCAGCAGGCCTCTGCGGTGACCGGTGACAACCGGTCGGTTGGGGCGTGGGAGGGGAGGACACCGGAAATGAACTTGCCGGGGCAACTGAATCCCTTGAGATTTAAAAGAGAGAAGGACAGGACAGCGTGTTCAAAACACTCTGAAACCCACAGCTACGAAAAGACAAGGAGGCAAGGAACGGACACTCTGAAACCAGTAAGAACACACAGAAGAACTCCCTTTCTAGAGAGTCACCTGCGGAGTGATATGGCTGTAAATAGCACATCAGACTTCAGAAACTAATTTCTGAAAAGAAAAAACAACCCCTCAGGAAAATTTTAAATTAAAATATTAAAAAACAAAATGATGTTGCTACTATCACTATTTAGTTTTCGTGCCCTCATATGAAATAATCTCATTACCAATGAGAACAGACTTTATCCTTTAAGAACAAATGTTCTTAATGGTAATTGCGTTGTTATCAATATCCCTTAAGTCATAATACGAGATAACATGCTTGCCACAGTGCCAAGTAGCCTGCCCGCCTGGCTGGTCCCCTCCCTGGGAAATCAGTGGCAGGGACGCAGGGGGCCTGGCTGGAGGTGGCCAGCAACCAGAGGGACCCCGCACGGCTGCGCAGGGGGGCGCGGCCGCGGCCCACAGCCGCCTGAGTGCAGGCCTCGCTCGGCCTCCAAGCCCTGAGCTGCGCTGGGATCCCTGGATTATTTCCTTTATCATTTCGATCTCTCCTCCCTCCCCCCAGGCACCTGCCACCTCCCGCTGGGCCTGGGGCCGTGTGCGTCCAGAGGGGGCGCCTTTCTCCCTGGCACACAAAGGCCCCCCCCAGGCCTCTCCCCCACCCACACCCGTGCTGGAGTGGGAGGCGGGACCTTGTCAGAAGGAGCCCAAGCCTTCAGACGGAGACAGGAGAAAGACGTCCCTATCACGGGCAGGCGTTTGTAACTGCTGGTGAACTCCACACAGAAGCCGTCCCTTGGGCTGTGCGGCGTTAGCAGCCTGGGGGCCGGGGCCACGGACCATGCACGCAGGAGCCCTCTGCATGGGAGGGCAGCGGCGCCCACGTGACGGGGTGGGTGGCCCGCGGCCCTGAACCCCCTTCTCCCTGTCACAGCAGGACTCCTCCGTGCTGCCACGTTACCCGAAAATCACACAGGGGGAGGAACACCGTCTCGGGCCCTCCGTTCTGACCGCTCGGCGCCGCAGAACTAAGAGCAACAATAGGGGGAACGGCTGGTCTTCCCAGCGGACCTAGTCGTGGCCGAAACCTCCGCAACTCACAGCCAACCCCGAGTTTCCCTGGGTGTCAAAGGGCACATGGAGGGAAAAGGGGAGAGAGACCCACGCGACGCCGAGATCCCTCCCACCCCCCAACGGGGACAGACTCACTTACCGGATAAAACTCAGGTGAACGCCCAGCGACCGGTGTGACCCCGAGCAGTCGATGCAGAGGAACACCCCGTAGGTTATGCTCGCCCAGCTGGGGTTTTTGGCGCCGCAGTCGAAACACACCTGGAGGAGAGTTTAGAAACCCGACTGTTGGTGACTTTGCGTCAGCCAGACAGCCCTCCCCTGGGACGCGATGCGTCCTTTAGCTGGAAAGCTGCTCGTCTTCACAGTTCAAACTGGTGAATAGAAACTGTCTCAAGTAGATTTTTAATCCCCCAATTTCAGTCTCTTTTATTACTACTATTGTATTAATTGAATTACATCAGCACAACACGCTGATTGCACAGTAAATTACATATCACTACGGACCTATTGCACCACTCACTATGCAGTGTGGGTAGGGAGGAGAACTCAGGTGCGTATCATCTCAGACACTGCCTAGCGGTCCTTGAAGCATGAGCAGGGTTGCTACCCGTCGCCTAAACGAACACTGGCTGGGGACATCCCTGGCTGGGACCGCTCGAGGCCTTCCCGTCCTCTGAACAGGGGCTCTGTGATGGATGGCGGGCGCTGTACACGCTTCGGTCCTCAGCCGGAGGGGGAGGAGGAGGAGGGTGGTGGCCAGGCTTCACGGTGCTCCTGGTGACCCGCCCCCATGGCCACACCCTTGTGCACCCGCCACCCTCACTGCTCCTGGGTGGTCTGTGTGACCATAGCGTGGCAGCAATTCCTTGTCACTTCCAGACTGTAGGTCATAAAGCACACTGCGACTTCCTCCTCCCCCTCCCCCTCTTCCTTTCTTCTTCCTTCTTCTTCTTCCTCCTCCTTCCTCCTCCCTCTTTCTCCTCCTCCTCCTTTCTTCTCCTTCTTCTTCCTTCTTCTTCCTCCTCTCTCTCTCTCTCTCATCCCTGGCTCTGCCGGGGAAAGGCAGCTGCCATGGCCTGAGGACACCCGGACGGCTGAGTGGGGAGGCCCAGGTGGGGAGGACGTCCAGCAGCCGGTGCAGAGCGGGGCCGGCCGCCCACCGTGTGGGCGAGCTGGGGCGTGGACACCTCAGCTTTCGGACGACCTCAGCCTCTGAGAGACCCCGAGCCTGCCTTCCTCAACGCTGACCAAAGTCAGCCATCCTGCATCTGATGCCAGGAGTGTCAGAGTACTTTGAAGTACGCAGTGCTTGCCATGGAAATTAACACAATTAATTAAAATCAGGCCCTGGCTGGTGTGGCTCGGTGGACTGAACACTGGCCTGTGAACCAAAAGGTCACGGGTTCGATTCCCAGTCAGGACACAGGCCTGGGTTGTGGGCCACATGTGTGCAAGAGGCAACTGTTTCTCACACAACGGTGCTTCCCTCCTTCTCTTCCCTTCTCTCTAAAAATAAATAAATAAAACCTTTACAGTCAGGACTACAGGATGGTAACAATTCCACTAGTAGAACTGTTTTAAAATTTTCCAGAAAAATAAGTGCCTATATTATAGATGCAGTTCACAGGCAGAGCCACCTACCCGAAGGTTGTCCTGACTCTACCAACCAGGACAGACCTGGCTTCTGGCCTCTGCAGGGCACTGCAAGAGCCAAGACGTGAGCGGGGGGCCCCCCAAGCCCCTCCCAGCGACAGGCTCACATTGAGCACGCAGGAGCTGTGGGGCTGGGGTGACAGAGGACATGAAAGGGGCCCAGTGCAGACACTACGGCCGGCACCGAGGAGTTAAGATGTCGGTGGCATCACTGATTCCACACACCTGCTGAGCCCCGCCCCCTGCCAGGCCACCTGCTGGCCCTGGCAGAGCTCACTGAGGTGCAAGACAAGGACAGGGAAACGCAGACGCCCGTGCTCACGGCCCTTGGAGTAAGGACTCCCTCTCCGTGGGTCGGTGTCAAAGGTGCTGTCCCTCTGCGGGGGGCCATTTGTAACCCCTCACTCACTCCACGGACAGCCGTGTATGTCCGTACAATCAGGTGGCACCTGGCGCACACAGAGTGGACGTACGAAGGTGGTGCAGCAGGCCTGCCCGGAGCCCACGGAGTAGCAGTCCAGGGGGCGAGACAGTTAGTTGCAAGGCTGAATCTTAGGAAGCAAGGACAGGATGCAAAACGTTCTCTAGCCAGGGTCCAAGAGGCTTTTGGGATCTCAAGAAGAACCTGTAAGGGCCGTAAGAGGCCAAGTCCGTGCAGGAAATGTCACTGTGGACAGAGGTGATAGCAGAGACTGGGTGTGTGCGGCCCGGAGCTGATGTCTGGGAGCCACACCCGAGGTGGTGGGGAGGCTGGCTCCCAGGAGAAACGAGCAGCGGAGGAGCTGACCCGCCTTTCCAGCACCCTCCTGCCCCAGCCACTGCGATGAGCGGTTGCTAGATAGTAGCTCCACGAAGGGTGGGGCCCAGTCTGCCATGGGCCCCTGAGCTGGGCACCCAGCCTGGCACAGAGTGGCATTAAACACAGATGCAGGTAGGGGGGCCGTTAGGAGGGAGGAAGGGCTACCGAGCTGGGAGCGGGCCCTGTGGGACCGGAGGGCGGGAGGCTCAAACACAAACCCAGCCTCACCAAGGCCGCCTTGGGCCTCCCGTGGAGCACGACACGGTGCTTTGAGAGCTGGGACTGCGCAAAGTCGAGCCGCGCTTTTCTAGGCAGAAGATGAGTTATTCTGCTGATGGACACTAATGACGAGAATAGGAGCTGCTGCAGAAATAACAGCCGGTGCTGAGTGTTTCCTGCCCGTCCGGCGCTGTCGCTGGCCGACGGAATCTTCAGGACAAGCCCACCAGGCCCACGCCCGGCAGGGCCCAGGGCTGGCGAATGCTCCGCCGTCTCCCCTTAAAACTCCTCATGCTGTTCAAACGAGGGCCCTGCGTTTTCATTCGCAGTCCCCAAATTACGGAGTGCACAGCTTTGACCCCCATTTTAGAGACAACTGAGGAATGACGAAGGATCACGGCTGAGAAACGGTATCCCGGGGACCGGACCCCAGGCAGTCCGCAGCCTGGGCCACGCTGCCTCTCACACGGCCGGACAGCGCCTGCCCCACCCTTTGCCCAGGGGACCACCCCCTCCCTGAAGGCAGATGCCTGTCTCTTCGCTGAGGGGGCATCAGTGCACCCACAATGCTCAGCACAGGGCCCAGCACACCACAGGTGCTCGGTGGATTTGTGTTGAATGAGTCACTTGAGCAATCGACAGAAAACTAAGAACAGGGTAGCTTTCAGGAAGGATTTCCCAAACTAGAAAACCGACCCTTATGAGTTAAAACCTTCGGTCCGGAGTAAACAGTCATCACACACGACGGGGAGAAACGGGACACCACATTCTACAAGTAAGCCGAGTTGCTTTCTTTGCCCAGCCTGCTGGTCTCCGGTGTCTCAGAGTGTCTTTCTGGAACCCCACCTTGAAAATGCCACTGCCACCCAACTCTTCCACGTCATTCAGACTGGTCCTCATCTTTGTCTGGGTCGCCGTTTCTTACCGGTGATCACATAAAGAGTCTTGATCCAGAAATGTGGCTCAGCCCCGGCTGGCGTAGCTCAGTGGATTGCGCACGGGCTGCGAACCAAAGTGTCACAGGTTCGATTCCCAGCCAGGGCACATGCCTGGGTTGCAGGCCATAACCCCCAGCAACTGCACATTGATGTTTCTCTCTCTCTCTCTCTCTTTCTCCTTCCTTTCCCTCTCTGAAAATCAATGCTGTTCCCAATCCTATTACAGAACAGGAAAGGTCCCATAGGTGTGTCGTTCACAAGGAAAACAAGGAGCAGCAGCTGACGCGCACTGAAGACCAGTCCCGTACGCGCCGGTCCTTTTCCGGGATTTTCTCACTGACTCCTCACAGTGACCCTCTGAGGTAGACCCTGCTCATGTCCCATTTTCTCGTTCAGGAGAATAAAGCACCAAGCGTTCAAGCCACCTGCCCGAGGAGACACAGTGAGGAAGCAGCAGGGTCTGGGTAACAACTCACAGCTGCGCCCGTATGTGGGCCTCGGAGTGTCTCCAGGTAGAAAGACGCCGCCGACTTCTTCTCTTAAAAACGCACCTCCCCTTTGATGTCATCATGCCCCTGAACCAAAGCAGACCCGAAAATCCAGCTTCTGCACCGCTAACCGCTGGTCTGGATGCTGCCTCCGTGCACAGGAGCCACTCTGCACTACCAGACTCCGAAACCGAAAACCACGGAACGAGCGAGGAAACCGGCACCGTGGAGAACCCCTGGAGCCCTTTGCCCTGGGCCTCCCCTGCCTTCGTCACACATCGCATCCAACTGTTGGTGAATTGTTGCCTTTCTCAGTCCCCTCCGGCTGTAACATCGTGGGCTCCCCCTCCGCCATCGAGACTCAAAACAAAGACATCTACATTTTGCAAAACTCAGGAACTTCCTATGCCGTCATGTCACGGCTCATGACCACGCTCGTTAACAGCTGTTCACTTCGGAGGTGACCGTGGGGCCCAGAGCACCTGTCCCAGGTGGAGAGGAGAGAGTCCACGCTGACGCGGACGCGGACGGGACAGCCCTTTGCACTCTCCAGGCTCCAGTCCGACTGTGATCCTCAGAGGAGGGGGTCACTTGCGCCCAATGCGTCATCACACCTCCCGCCAGTTTCCCAAAGTTGCAAAAGCCATGCCGGGAAGAGAGGGGACAGCCTCCGGACATGGGAACTAAAGGAAAACCCCAACCTCCAAAGAGACCCAAGGGGAAGGAAGGGAAAGGGTCTGTGCTGGGCTTTCTTAGAAAGAGGAAAGCGCTGGAAGCCGTCGCACTGACCACTGGGCAGCTCTGTCACAGAGGGAAACTGAAGCTGCCATCAGGGGACACCAGGAGCCATTCAGGCTCCAACGGGCGCCCTGAGGCACTTCAGGGGTCCGTTCCAGGGTGGGGAGGGGCCGCGCCGAGCTTTGCCGAAAGCCCAGTGCTACCAGCTGGATTTCTGACCCGGCGCCTGCGTCCCAGCTGGGTCACAGGTGGCCGACTGTGTCCGCCCCACGGGCAGCAACCCCGGGGTAGGTATCCCCGTCAGCCCTCTCTCGGGACCCCCAAGCTCACCCCCAGCGCTCTCAGGAAGCCAGTGTTCACTCGGCCACCCCAAAAGGCCGCTCCCGCCGCGCGTACGCTCCTCCGCCAGGTGTCAGGAACCCACAAGCCTCCGCTCCCCGCCCCCACGACCCCAGGTGCTCTCGCCTCCCGCCCCCCAGGACCCCCGGCACCCCCGGCTGCCCGCCCCGCCTTCGGCTTGGCCGTGAGCCCCCTTCCCCGCTCCTCCCTTGCTGAGGCTTTGGGGGGGGTGGTGCGGCGCGCGGTTCGGACCCAGGAGAGGCCCAGCCGCCGCAGCCGCAAGTGCGACGTGTCACAGGCCGGGCCGGCTCCTCCTCCCGCGGCCGCGGACACTGGCACCGCCAGGCCGCCCGCGGGGTCCCGCAGGGATGCCACGCAAGCCTGAACACACCCGGCGGACATTACCTTGTTGGTGGGCACGGAGCGGAGGCGCTTGAAGATGGTCAAGATGTCCTGCTTGCTGGGGTCCCCCATAGTCGCCAGAGAACCGAGGCAGAGCTGGTCTGGCCAACCGGGAAGAGCCGAGTAAGAGCGGTTGCCGCCTCCCGGAGCTAGACTGCTGCCCAGGGGGCGGGGCAGCGCGTGAGGGCCGGGCCCCGCTCCTCCAGGCCCCGCCCACGGCCACGCCCAAAGTAGCGCACGCGCCTCGAGTCGAGGGCCTCGCTTCGCTGTGGCGCTGACTCCGCTCGCGGAAGCCCCGCCCCCGATGCTGCACGCGCGTGCGCAGAAGGCTCGCAAACCTTATCCCAGGTCTTTGCCCGCGGTTCGTGCAGCCCAGTGGCCAGCGAGGCTGGGCCTGGGTGGGGTCTGCTCCCACGCGCACGGCCTTCGGAACCCCCATCACTTCGGCTGGTGGATAGCCATTTCAACTAATGCACTGCTTCTCACCTCCTCCGTACCACTGAGGCAGAACCAGTCACTCCAAGGGGCAAAGGAGGAAACTTGAAGGGAAAGAGTCAACCCGCCGTTTCCGACGCCCGACACAGGACTGGAGTCCAGACATCGAGTTTTCCTTAGTCCCCTGATTTTTTTTTTTGTTTGCTCTAAGTTAAGAAGCATTCCACGCCAACAACTGATTTTCTTTCTTTTTTATTATTATTATTTATTTTTAGAGAGGGAAGGGAGGGAGAAAGAGAGAGAGAGAAACATCCATGTGCGGTTGCTGGGGGCCATGGCCTGCAACCCAGGCATGTGCCCTGACTGGGAATGGAACCTGCAACACTTTGGTTCGCAGCCCGAGCTCAATCTGCTGAGCTACACCAGTCAGGGCTGATTTTCTTAAAGTATCGGTTTGGGCCTAAGGTCCTGGGGGGAGGCACAAGGCGCTCAGTCAGAACTGGGGAGTGGACAAGCAGCCAGATGTTTCCCGCTGCTCAGACTGTATCCTACCCTTTGGCTGCTTTTGCCAGCAAGAAGGCTTTGAACTTGGAGAAGTCGGCCTCTTTCACAACAATGGGTGTGGAGCTGCCGGGAGATGTCGCCCGAGGTTGTGTCGTGGAGGGAAAGATGAGAGGTTTTGGAGCCAGATGCAATACCCTGGCCCCGAGCCCGACTCCACCACCTGCTTCCTGGCGCTGTGATCTTGGTCAAGGCATTCCTCCTCTCTAACATTTGGTCTGCTCAGCTGCACGATGGAGTGAGACTGAAGGATCGGTGCTGAGGTGCCCAGCAGGGCAGCTTCCCAGGAAAAGCCTTTGGCCAGGGTCGTTGTGTAGAGGCTGGGGTGGTTCGCCTCACCTGGCTGGTTGGATGCCCTCAGGCTAAGTTGGAAAGGTGCCAGGAATAGGTGGGAACTTATCCAAGGAAAGGGAAGTTATCGCCTTCCAGAACAGTATCTTTTTTATTTTTGCAAACAGCTATGGCTACTTGAAAGTTCTTCCTTATATTGAGTCAAAGTATATACCCCTGTATTTTGTGTCTGTTAGTATTAGTTTGACCTCAAACAGAACACCTGGTGTGTCCATAAGGAACAGTCATGTCCTTTCTAGTGGGAATGGTGACATTTACTGTTTGGCGCTGAAATCTTAGCAGTGCACACGTCAAATTAGGGCAGGGTATGTCTACTCAACTCTCCGACACAGAGATCCCTGAGGAGAAGAAAAAGTACACTAATAGGCAGGCACAAGGGGAGGGGAAATACCATTATCGCTTTTGCTCTCACCTGCTTCCGTGTTCTCCCTAGAACGTATCGCCGCCTGGTATTATGATCCGTAAATACACCTGCCTCCCTTCAACCGAACATAAATGTCATGGGGTCAGATGTTTGGCCTCCCTCTCTCCCCCCAGGCCCTGCAACAATGCCAGGCACACAGTATACATTCGATGAAGATTTTTGCTGTGGGCTTAGACTGTATAAGTACAAAGAACATCACTTCCAACATCATAATGAGAAAAGGCTGGGTAATCTACGAAATCGTGACCTGAGCCCATCAGAGAGCTGAGGTTGCAAAGCAACCAAGTAAACTGAATTCCAAGAGAGAAAAGGCGCCCCCAAAAGAGATGGAGGTCAAGAACTCCCTCAACTTCCACAGAGCACAGGGGAAAGAAGTGGTTGCCATGCAAGTGGGCAAGAGGAAATCACTTAAGATTTTTTAAATAAGATTTTAGTTATTTACTTTCCCAGAGAGGGGAAGGGAGGGAGAAAGAGAAGGAGAGAACTGGGTCAGTTGCCTCTCACATGGCCCCGTCTGGGGACCTGGCCCACGACCCAGGCATGTGCTCTGGCCAGGAATCAAACCGGTGACCTCTCAGTTTACAGGCCAGCACTCAGTCCACTGAGCCACACCAGCCTGGGCTGAAAGCACCTAAAATTTTAATGCATTCTTAAAGGCCAAATGCGAGCTGGCGTGGCAGTTTGCAGTCGTTGGGGGCCTCAGGTACAAAGAGAGTTTACGTTCACTCACAAGCACTTTTCCATGAAACTCCACCAGAACGCTTTCTTCGCAAGAAAGATGGAGACCAAGGAAGGGACTGGAGAGAAAACCCTCGTGTGGCAGGCACGCAGCCTGTTGGGGCGCAGGCATAAAATCCCACCCCTGAAAAGCAAAAGCAGCAAACTCTCCCTCCCTTGGGGTACAGGCGAAGATCAGTTTCTGCCTCGGGAGGAGGAGAAGCAACACCCAGTTAATGCCAAATCGGAAGGAGGATAGGAAATCCTCTAACTTTTGAAAGGGCAGACAGAATTTCTGCTGCAGGGGGAAGGACGAAGCAAAATCCCTCTGCCGCTGGGGAAGCGTCGGAAAACTCCTTGGGCCGAACGGAGGTTTGCTGCCACTGGAAGAGGGAGGTGGGAGCCCCCATGGGGACCAATCACAGGCACTGGGCAGAGGTTTGCTGTCGCCAGGAGGAGGGCAGAAATGTTGAGAAAGCCCCGCCCCAGAGCTCCAGACCCACAAGACCTGAGACAGAGGCTGGACCAGGGCACCAGAGCACTCCACCCACACAGTTCAGGAGCCTGGCGCTGAGTGACAGGCAGCAGCGGCCCGCCACAGCAGCAGGCAGGAGTGGGATGGCAAGCGGTTCTGGCGCCCCAGCCCGCACTGTCAGCATGAGGTTACACCGTTCCCCTGCTGAAGGGGTTCGAATCCCAAGGAGCACTGATGATGAACAGAGAACGACCAAACCAGACTTCACTCCACCCTAAATTGGCTCAGCCCCACGCTAACGACCTGACGGAGGTCTGCCTGCCCATTTTCAAGTGTGAACACTGTTAACTTCAGTCTCCAGTCCTTTACATCAGGGTTTCTCAGCCCCAGCACTACCGACACTTCGGGCTAGATCAGTCTCTGCTGTGAGGACAAGACCAGCCCTGGCTGAGAACCTCCGTTTGAGACCTGAGAATAGTAACAGGAGACAGGAGGGGCTGAGAGCCCACGCAGCCGACCGACGGCTCGCCCTGTCTTCCGCGCGCCGTCCTGCTGTTTGTGTGAAGACAGGAGGGGGTGGCCGAGGCCAAGAAAAAGGGCATTTTAGTGAGTCCTCCCTTAAGGTTGTGGCAAGGATCTGGGACTTTGGGCAAAACAAGGAGGGATGAGACCCGTTTTAGCGCAGGCTAACTGATAGAAACAAAAGTTCCTACAGTGTGATAGCCAAACGACGTTGGATACAGTGGCGTTTTTCGAGGGCCCGCTGCTGTTTATTTAATTCACTCTCAGTTGAACGGGAGCTTGCTGAAAGCCAGAGGCCGCTCTAAGGAGAAACTAGGCGTGCCTAGATAGTCCCATGATAAACAACGAGGTGAGACAAGCACAGATACTGTCCCTTGCCCTGTGGGACCCAGTGGACTTTGGTTAGCGCTGGAGAGAAAACAGGTGACTGCCATCTCTGAGTCATCGTCGCCTCTGTACAGATCTGGTGCGTTTGGAAACCAACCGTGGAATGCACCCCGAGCCTTGTCCGGTTTCCACCGGCCCCGTGGGTTCGGGCACTGCGCACTTGGAAGTTCACAAATGCCCCATTTTAAAAGGTAAAATATTTAAATAATAATTGGACTGATTTTTTAATTTTTAAAGGCACGATTCATTTTGTTTTATTTTATTCTATTACTATTTGTTAATTACTATATTTTTTAAATTTAATGTTTTCAAAGAAGTACTTTCTTTTCTTTTTTTTTCTTTTTTTTAAAGATTTTTATTTATTTTTAGAGAGGGAAGGGAGGGAGAAAGAGAGAGAGAGAGATCAATGTGTGGTTGCTGGGGGGCTGTGGCCTGCAACCCAGGCCCTGGGAATCGAACCTGTGATGCTTTGGTTCGAAGCCCACGCTCAATCCACTGAGCTACGCCAGCCAGGGCTAATTTAATCTTTATTGTATTTTTTCCATTACCATTTAGCCTCCTTACCTCCCCCTCCCCCTGGCAATCACCACACTTAATTTTTTAAAGATAGAAATCTAAGCTGATGCTATGACCACCTCTAATAGGATAAATTATTTAGAACACCTTTATTACTGTAATATGGCAATATTACAATATAGCAAAAATAATTGGAAAGTGAAACGCAAACTTATGTGTGTGCAACAACCTACAGCACTCGAATGTTGTATTTATCTGTAACCATGGAGCACTGGGAATGTCCTCCAACTAGACTGACAAACCTCGGTGAAGTCATTCAGCAGGAACTACTCACCATAGGAAGGCACAGACTACTGATAAATAAAACCACACATGGATGAATCTCAAAAGAATTCCGTGCAGTGAAAGAAGACAATTTCTAAAGGCTACATACATATTGTGTGCTTCCATTCATAGGACATTTTGGAAAAAACGAAACTATAGAAACAGAAAGCAGCTCAGTGGTCTGCAGGGACTGGGGGCACAGGGAAATCTGGGGGACGATGGGACAGTTCTGAGTCTTGACGGTGGCAGCGGCGGCAACCACCGTCTGCGTTTGTCAGAACCTGCAGGACTGCACGCTGAATGGGGCGCGCTTTACTGTGTGTGAGTGGTAACTTTAAAAATGAAAAACCAAATGGGAAATAAAGCGAGTGCTCGACGAGGTGGGACTTCTGGCACGTGGACTAGCATGCAGCCAGGAAACGCTGCATTT